TTACATGGTACTATTTATTCATTTTAAGAAAATTAAGAAAATGGTAACAAAACCCTGCACAGACTAAAAAACAACAGTTTAGAAACACTTTTCTAACTTGAGGACGGATGGTTTTTTTGTTTAGTAAATAGATAGTTTAATTTGATATTCTATTCTTGAATTTGAAATAGAATAATTCATTATAGTATTAATGTTTTTAGTTTTTCTAAGAATGAAAATAACCATTCAATTAAAATATTATTTTAATAGTTCAGTTCATGAGCCAAATGAAGCTAGGACACTATAGAAGCACTGGATGATCGTTTCGTCTCGGTGTGGGACTCTTCAGCAGTGCGCATCCACGATCCCGTGGCGCGGAACTCGAATACAGGACACATCAGTCTTGCGCGCGAACGTTTAACATCTAGACAACTGATCCGGCCGACATCCAACGGTGTTAATGTCTAACTTCAACCAATTCACAAAATTTAACCACTGTCTTCTATTTGCTTCAGTGAGTTGACCCGGTTGAACTCACTGTTTCTCACTAGAACTTCAGGAAATATCTCTTGAAGCCAGTCACTAGTGAGCATGTGATGATTATTATCCAAAAAGGTTTTTGTGGATATCATAATATTTTGGTAGTTGAATTCATGAGCCAATTGAAGCTAGAACACCATGGAAAAAATAGAAGCACTGGACATCCGTTTCGTCCTATCGTGGGACTCCTCAGAAGTGCCCATCTACGATTATTATTCAATTGTGATGACCTTACTTCATGTGGCTTACTAAAAACTTACTTAAACTCTGGTTTTCTTTCAGCTAACAGTAAAAAAATTATTCGAAAACTTTCTGTCTATTTAACAGAACTAGGTGTTGGTTGCAAGAGTTTTTCTTATTTAGTACACTCTTAAATGAATGCTTATCATACATCGTCAGATATTCATTTGGAATATGATAACATGTCCTCACATTCATAATGAATGTCAAAAAGGAGACATAGTATAACAACACAACAATTATTTTCTACTCATTGTAAAAGTACTAAATTGTAGATTATGAACAATGTAATGTTTAAACATACAGGTTAAAATATGTTTTAACATTCAGTTAAGAAGGTGTCTTATATTATTAGACAGATTTCAGTCATTTGTATATATACAATATGCCATGATTTTGTATTATATATCAAGCATATGATGTATGACTATACAAATATTTAATCATAAACACGTTTAAAATGTTTACAGAGAATAAGTAGAAATTAATTAAGCTAAATAGTCATGTCTTGTGTTTACAGATTAATGAATGATCTTCGTTAAAACTGATTGATCAGTGGGCGTTGATCAATGGCATGTACGTCAGGTACTTCTTAGTACAGATCAAATCATATCGACCAGGTTGCAATGTGGCCACATAGGATAGGATTCGATCTGCACTAAGAAGGACCTGATATACATGACATAGATCACCACCAAGTGATCCATCAATTGTAAATATCTCTCAGTCCTACAGGAAGTTAATCGCGGCTCGGATAGCTCAGTGTTAACGTCTCTGACTGTAAAGATGGGTGACACAAGATCAGGGAGCATCATTTTCCTCAAAATTACAAGTACACCTTGCTGAAGAGTGCCAGGTAGCACGAAACCTAGGTTCAGGGTTTCCTATTGACTACCTCAACATAATGATCTTCATTACGCGTATCTTTTAGTTACTTATAATTTAAATGACTTTGAATGTTTATTTTTCTGTTCATTACTTTGTGTACAAGTGTATCACTTTACTGATAATGAAAAAAGAAACGTCTCGCTGACCGTTCGTCTTGTTGTCGGTTATTTGTTCGTTAAAAAGGCACCATATCAATAGTTTTACGTGTGTAATTATCAACTTTTCACATAGTTAAATCAATTCAGACCATAATTAGTACATCCAAATGTATATAGAATAGAGAAGAGTTGTAACTTAGGACAATGCTTTGAATAGTGTCACATTTACTAAACTGAACTATTCGATCATGAAGTGCTAATTGTCTTTTTGAATGATATTAGTAGCAACTGCGTCAAATGGAAGTGAACTTTGTGATTATTCTATGATCTTTGAATTATGTATTTATGATAACCTTACTTATGGCTGGTTGTCTTTGTAGGTTATATTATCTTAATTCATGAAAGCTTTTTTGACCTCACACCATGAAATTTCCTCTATCCATAATTTAACATTTTAAAATTTATTTACTTAGTCATCAGTGTGTTTTTAATCAAATGAAAACATTTCGTGTCTTTTCACTGATAGTTTTTTATTAATACACAAGTTAGTAAAGAGGACGTCTAAAGTTTTAAACATACTGCTGATGCACATTTTTTCATAAGTAATATCCGGAGACGGATATCCGTAGGATAAGGCGAGGTGTGCATTTTGAGGGTCGACTTTTTCTAACCCCACCCCTCATTGTGGGAAGGCAGCATCTCTGTCATACTGGTTGTCTGAACGAAACACCTTACTGCTGTCACACCTCTGTACAGTCAGCAGTACGACTTTGCCTTCGGACCTTGGGTTTGTTGATTTTAGTCTCACCGCTCTTCAACCAACCTGTCTGACATGATAGGACCTTGAGGCGCGATTGTTCTAGCCAGTATAACTCGGTTGCTTCATCACGATAGGCGACCTCGACCACCACCTCAAGGTAGCAACAACAGTAGTAGTAGACCACCTAAGTTACTGGATTAGATCTTTAATAATAATTATGATTGTACACTGATATAAAATAGCTCACATACTAATGTCATAGTATATAAATTAAAGATAAGATATTCATTGAAAATTCTAAAATGTTACCGTCATTAAAATACAAATGGATGTAGTTCATTGTAGAAATATCTTAAAATTATTTGGCTGACGAAAATGTATAAATATATACAACTAAGCATAGTATCATAATTGTCACATCACTATAAAAAAATAGTAAAATAAAAAATGCATATTTTCGAAAATGATTAATGAGTTTTCTTTCAAAACTAAAAAAATTTTTTTCTTTCGTTTCTTTTGGGGGGGAGAGGGGAGGGGTAATTTTTAAAATTTACACTTGACAGTATATTGTTTACATTTCTAGTATTCAATGTATTTTTTAAAAAAAGTAAATGAATGGTACTAATTTATTTATTTATTTAAGTGACTTCTAAAATATTATGGCGGATACCTTAAAGCTAGTGATTAAATAAGTGGAGACAGAATGTTTTTTTTTCTTTCTTTCCTTTATATACTTTGACATTTGATCACATTACCAAAGGAGAGAGAAAGAGAGAGAGAGGGGAAAATACGCTTGATTCTTATGTAAGAAACTTTCATTAATTCATTAATCATAAAATTCCTTTTGTTGTTTTATTTTTATCTTTTAAATAAAAGGAAAAAGAAAAATCTTATGTGATGATGGATGAACTTATCATGATTATAATTTAGGACACCTATTAGTCTTATTACATTCATATCATTTGACAGTAATTAATTAGTAATTAATTAGACTCATTAGTTTTACATATAAAGCGGAATTACGAATGAATAATTATTATAGATTAGAGCCTTGATTGGTGAATTAACGTAACCAGTACTTATGTATATATATATATATATGTAACTAAGCAAATGGAAATTAGTCTAACTATATATATGTATATATATTTGTCTAACTTGTCTACCGTGGTTGGGAACTGTTAAATGAAGCGTAATTATTTATTTACATATTCCGATAAATTTATCTAATATTTTGTTATTGTTTTATTGAAATATGAGACAGATAAAAGTTCTTAAACGTTGTATCTTATATTCAGTTTACAATTTGATTTGTATGTATGTAAGGGGTAAAATGTTCAATAGATCTTTATGGGCATATATTGAATTATTTGATTGACATCATGAACCGATTGATGTGCTCACTAGTGATTGATTTCGTGAGGGAATTCTCGGAGTGCTAGTGAGAAGCCGTAACTAGTGGAGCTAATCCGTGTCGGGTAGAGACAGGTATATAACCTCAGTACAATAGAAGATGGTTGTGCGATTTCGTGGATTGGTTGATGTTAGACATTAACACTATTGGGTGCCGGCTCAATGGTGCAGTAAGTTAAGTGTTCGCTCGCGAGACTGAAGGCCCCGGGTTCGAATCCCATGAGCGGGATCGTGAATGCGCACTGCTGAGGAGTCCCAAAATTGGACGAAGCGGCCGTCCAGTACTTCCAGGTTTTCAATGGTCGTCTGACATCAATCGGTTCATGATCTCAATCGAAAACCTAATAATCTCCATAACCCCTATACTGATATATTGAATTACATGATCTATGGTAAATAATATAGTTTGAAAATACTTTTAATCAAAAACTAATAGATATTTATTTTGTATTGCTACGATAAAGGATTTTTGGAATTTCTGGAATTTTAAAGTTTACATTAAAAACTGATATTAGTTAGACAACTATTGAAAACTAGGAGGTATTTGATAGCCGTTTAGTTCTAGTCCAAAACTTTGTCAGAGTTCATCCACGACCTTACTGTAGTACGAACACAGGAGCTTCGAGTCTCGCGGCAATTGTTTAACTATCAGACATTGAAAGCGGCATCCATTGGTTTTGAACTTGAGACTCCTCAATATTGAACGTTTGTGACTCATTGTTTGATGTAACGAGGCAATCACTAGAAGTTATCATTGGTGATTATCTTACTCTTGATGTGATTGAAACTCAATTTTCACTAGAAATTCCAAAGTTATTCACTTGAAAACAATTGATTATTATTTTATTTAATGGCTCGTATTAATCAAGACAAATTTTTTGGATACATCGTATTCGTTAAAAGTTCAGTGGAGTTCTTTTTAGCAGTGTTAACAATGAAAATAATGAGAGTCTTCTCTATAGTTACACTTTTCAATTGAGTAATAATACTGAACTTCAATCAACTAGCTTTTGTTTATCTAACGAAGGATTATTAGTTAATTCATATATATAAAATTTATGTAATCATATGGATGAACTTACTTTGTTTCTTTTCGTACATAAACAGTATTATTACCAATTGATGGAAAGATAAATTGTGGTGTATTATCATTCACATCTAATATATGTATTAAAACAATTGTTGTAGATGATAATTTTGGTGTACCGTGATCTTCAACACGAACTGTCAATTCATATAATGGATATAATTCACGATCTAATTTTGATCTACCTAAATAGATTTGTCCATCTTTGGCAATAAAAAATCTATATAAAAACAATGAATACAAATAAAGTCATACTATTAGCTATACAAAAAATAAAGATTATTCAAACATTGAGTAATCAGTATTTTAACTAAAATGATTATGATATGTCTCGTCATTTGAATGCTACTTGCTATATCTGGTCATCGCTGATTGTTGTGTCGTTGATGCTTATCACTTATACTCAAACGACAGACCTTTCCAATTCCCACGACGCTAAAGTAAGAACAGAAAGACGGGTATAAGTGAAAATTTATTAACCCCCAAAATACGACAAAGACAACCCAAGTTGAAAATATACTGATCTTTATATTGATTCGTACACCCATTTTGATTAATAATTAGGAAGAAATCACATATAGGAAAAATACCCAGAGTTATAACAAATCATATGCTGAGTATAGTTCATGTCCATTGAATACAAGAATATCGTATGTTATACAGAATGAAATATCATACGAGAAAACTACACTGAATAATCAACATATTGGATCAAAATGGAAGTAATGATAAATAATAATCATAATAAGTGAATCAATCTAATTTTGACTTTTCTTCCCGTCATATCAGATTACATTTAAAAAGACACTTCTTACGACAGAATGATTATTGTAAGCAATGATGGATAGTGGCTAGCATTGGAATCCAAAACGCGTGTTCCGTCCTATTCGGGACTCATCAGCTTGATGTTCACTCTTGGACTCGAACCCAGTTGCAGTCTTAAACCTCACTGGGAAGATACGAGCCAAAAAACAATACCAAGAGAATGATTATTGTTTCACAAATGATTGAATGCTTGGTACACTAGAACATCATTTCATGTTATGATAATTTTGAATATTTCAATACTTTCTTATATTTCAAAATACAAGTATGAAATCTGTAAAAGTTTATAAAATGCACCCTAATAGATTAGTGTAAGTATCATGTTTAATATTATCCATCTACATGTTTTGAATTGTAGTCATCAAGATACTTTCAACTGTTTAATTAATTGTTCTGTTTAAATATGTATTTAACCATCTTCTAATGAACACAATGTATGACCAAACAAAGAATTATTTCAATACCTTTTTACTATATATACAGACGGTTTTCATGATCCCAGCCACAAATCAAAGTCATAAATGATCAGTGAATGGAAATTTCAATGACACATGTTTACAGAATTGTAATCAACAACTATATTCAGAAATAAATTCACATTGAATACTTTTGATGGAATGTTGTTCTCTAAGCTGGATAGTTTAATCATGAAGCTTTCATCATTCTTCTAAATGATCAAACCATCCAACTTAGAGAACAAAACTTCATCAAAATCATCCATCTAAGCTACAAATCTTCTCTATCATCTCAATATTTGAATAATTCATATCATGCTAAAAAATTGAAGTGAGCATGATAATGAGATTACTACAACACATGAAACTATCAATGATATTCATTGTGATACTGATACATTTCTTCATCAAGATTCAACAGTAACTACGAAGTGAAATTACAAACTATCAATCAATACTTCACACTAAATGATGAATCAATGCGATACTTTTTGTTGGTTTGTTTACAATTCTTTGTACATATTAATTCAAACTTATTAATTCCAACTTTTTGTTTAAAAACAAACAAACAAACAAACAAACTTTACGTGTTAATTATTATCTAAAATAAATATCATTGTTTTGCTTTTTTCCCTCCTCCTCCTCCTTTTCTCTCCCTCTTTTCTCTCTTTTCTTTTTCTTTTTTAATTCGATAAATTATTCGAAAATAATAGAAATAAAAAGAAAAGGTTAATCAATCTATTCTGTATCCAACTGTCTATCTTTTACATTTCAATAAATCGTTTATCATTTATCTATAAAATTAAATAATTCAATGAAATAATTGAATTATTTCATTGAACAAGAGTCATCCATTGATTCGGAATAAGTTAGGTAAATAATAATAAAGTTTAGGAGATAATTTGAATAAGTTTTGGTTATTGTGATGTATTAACTACTAAATGAATAATGTTTAGATTATATACATGATACTTAGAATATACAGTGAACTATTTAATGGGATAATAACAAAGTTATGATTTTAGTTTATGTATTTACTGACTGTTATATAAAGTTATTCAAGTTAAGGTTAACTGGATAAGCATAACTTATAGTTCAAAATCAATTAAAGTGACTCAGATATGTTTACTATTTATTCAATACTACTTTCCAGATTGGCCGGATACCATCAGCAACAGTCTACTGTGAGAGAGAACAAACTAGCTTCCAGCTGAAGAGCAAATTAGGAAATGACATTGGAAGTGGATATGGCATGCATTACGGAAATCATTAAACTGCATCACAAGACAAATGCTAACTTGGAATCGTGAAGGGCAGTGGAATAGTGGAAGGCCAAAGAACACACCTAAGAAACTCAAAACAACTGTCCTCAAGCCAACATCGAATTCAGAATCTTCAGTACGAACGTCAAGACAATCCTACTGTATAAAACCGAAACGTGGAGAACTACCACAACCATCTTTGAAAATGTACAATTTATAAATAGTTTAAAACAGTTAGTCCCTTTGATAAATTTCGATAATGTAATTAGAAGACGAAGATTATTACATAGTTCTGATAATCTTCGTCTTCTAATTACATTATCGATGTTTATAAATAATTGTCTACATAAGACACTGAATTTCCGTTGGCTGATAATATCAATAACAACGTTCTGAGGGAGAGAACAAACCAACTTCCAGCTGAAGAGCAAATTAGGAAACAACGTTGGAAGTGGATAGGACATGCATTACGGGAATCACCAAAGTGCATCACGAGACAAGCCTTGAAGAGCAGCCAAAAAGAAGAAGGCCAAAGTACACACTACGTCGGGAAATAGAAGCAGCTATGAAAAGGATGAAAAACAACTGGAAAGAGATGGAATGGATTGCCCATGACAGGGTTGAATGAAGAGTGCTGTTAGGCCGCCTATGCTCCTGGCGAAAGTAAGTAAGTTTCTAGATTCGATTATTCTCAAACTTTATCCCTTAATTGCTCTTACTTTGGTAATATGAACTTGAAAATTATAGATTTAAGCGTATTTATTCCAGTTCTTATGTCATTCATGACTGATTAACAAATACACAAATATGTTAATTCTGAACATAATAGTTCATATACAATAAATTTACAAAAAAAATATGTTAAGTAAATATTGATTAATTGCTAATCAATAATGAAATTTGTTTTTTTACACCCAAAGTCAAAATCTATTGGATTTCTTATGGTAGTTTTTAATCCCATTTTCATAGCCCTTTTGTGAAAACAAAAGAGAATTGTATTTTATTATCTATTTTATATCAATCACATAAAGTAATACACAATATTGTGCACAATATTGTGCAAATACTAAAAAGTATATAAACTTATTCTTTGTTACTATGTGAATAAATAAATGGATATTCATGGGGGAAACTGAAAATATTCAAGTAAAATGTAATTTCTATTCATAAGAATAATGAACATATACTAATTGATTGAAAACACAAAAATAAACGTAATTTAAAATTCAATAAAATATAACTGATTTTTTTTTAGATAAAAGTAAGTGAATGGAATTAACAGAAGGGGTTTTGTGAAAATTTTACAAATTTCACTGATAAATACAAAATGAGATGGTCATTCTAGGTAATTCATGTTTTAGCCTTGGTTTCTCCATAGTAGTTCTCCGGTGTATTACTCAAAGTGTTTAGCTCATCTTCAACTATATCCATAGAACATATAGTACGTATTCGATAACTAAAAGTTTTGATCGGATTTCGTTTGTACTGTAGTGGTACAAAGCTAAAAATAATGTGCATACTGCACGGTCCAGGTATTTTTTCTTCTGAAACTCTTTTTTATTGATCCATTCGCTCTCTTAGTTAAGAGAACGTCCAAAAAGTCTAATCTACCATCACTCTCTTCTTCACATGTCAACTCAATAGCTGAATACACTTCATTAAACTTCTTAAGAACCTCTTACTGTGATTCCAATTCACATTTTTTAAACAATTTACTTTACCCTTAAACTTGATCATTTGAATTGTAGGAGCATGGAAAGAATTTCTTGAAAACAACATTTTTCATTCAAATATTAATCTTATAAATATCTAATCATATAATGATAAATATCCGAATGGATTTTTGTAGATATTATAATAATTTTTAATAGTTGAAATCATAAGTCAATCGAATCTAGATCACTAAAGAATACCTGAAAACACTTGACAACCATTTAGATAACTCCGTCTATGGCCCCTCCAGGGGCTACTGCAGGTCTCAAGCCCGGATAAAGGAGGAGAGTTGGGCAAGGAGTTAGCGATCCCATCCCGTAAACAACTAACTCGCTAAAAAAACGCTAGTACATTCAATACACAAAATAGAATATAATAATAATAATAATAATTCATTCTATATATTTCAAATAAATAATCCATTCTAATTATACAAACTGGTAAATCATTATAATCAAATATATTTTTATTTTTACACCAAATAAGAATAAATGCAACAATGATTCTATGATCAAATTGATTTATACTTCCTCTTTTATAAGTAATCTCTATTTAAATCAGTGATTTAAATAAATAAATAAATAAATAAATAAAACACAACTTGGATACAAGGTGATATTCAATACTTGAATAGGTGAGATATTGTACAATAGATTTATTGATTATTATAATTGTTTCACCTGAATGAATTTACTAATTGGTTCATTAGATATTCATATAAAATATTATTGTTATTATTAAATTTTAAAGGAAAAAAATTGCATTTTATATAATTATTAAGTACGATATGTTATATCATTGATGAGTTATTATGACTACTTTTTAATGTAAGTCAATTGAAACTAGACCATCATGAAAAAACTTGGAAAGACTGGATGATCGTTTCGTTTTATTGTAAGACTGCTTAGCTGTGCGAATTCACGATACCACCTCACGAGATTTCAATTCAGGACTTATTAGTCTCGGGTGCGAATGCTTAAACCTCTAGACTACTGAACCGACATACAATGGTGTTAATGTCTAACTTCAACGAATACATGAAATTGAGCGATACATCCACACCATTGTCTTCAGTGAGTTATTATCTCACAACAAACTCAGTTGAACTCTTATTGTCACTGCTTCTTAATTGAACTCCAAGAAATATCTCTATAGTATTTGTTTAACAACAGATTAATTTCAATGTTTCCGTTTTATTTGTTACACCCACATGGAAGTCTGCCTGTCTATTCAAACATATATATATATATACCTAGATGCATTTTATGTTTGTTTAATAAAATATTCAGAGTAAAATAAAAATAAAATTTCATTCGTCTAATAATAGGAAAGTATACGTCATTGAATCATGTTAACCATTAATTCTCATGACAATAAGCATATCTAAAAATGAAGACAACTACAGGATTTTTGGTCTGTGTTCGAATCTGACGAGGTGGGATCATGGATGCGCACTGCTGAGGAGTCCCAAAATACGACGAAACGGCCGTCTAGTGCTTTCAGCCTTTCGATGGTGGTCTAGCTTCAATTGATTCATAATCTCAACTATTAAAAAAGTTACTATAATATCCACAAAAAACCCCTTCTGATAGAACTCAATAAGTTTCATTTTCCCATATCAATATTTTTAGTGTAAATCTGTATAAAATCAAGTGTACTCAATACATGTGAGTCCTAAAATTAAGATAAAAATCTATTCAATAAACCTTGGTTTTTTGATAGAGGTTATATATTACTGCAATGCCAAACAAATCATATACTATCGTGGGTAAAACGGAGGTATGCAAATATTGGTGAGTCATAATGAGTAATCGAATTCAAATGATAAAAAAGATTTATATGTCAAATGGGTTCTTTTTCATATGTTGTGCTACTTAAAATTAATGGTTTAATTGAAAAGTATGGGCTTCAGATAAATCGGCAGTCACTAAGTATATCGACATAGAATCTATCTACCAATATACATAGAGAAGGTTAACCAATCACGTGGTTAGATTTCAATCGTACAGAACGTTCATTAGAAACATAAAAGTAAATGAAACTAATAAAACATCTAAAGAAAACATTTTACAAACATGATCATTAGAACAAGCTGATTCAGTGCTTGTTATATAAGTAAATTATAAGTACATCGAGTTTAAAAAAATACGATTAAGCAAACTGTTAGCCTAGCTGAGATCACTGCACACATATGTTTGTCAGGCTCAATCTAGTAACACATGAACACACTAGAGTTGTGCAAACTATTTATCCGTTTCGGCAATATACCTATAGACTCATTTTTAATCTTCTCATTATCTATAGTTGGCCGGGCAAGCCTTATGAAATGTGTATTTTGATTGGATCCAGTTGATAAACAATAACAATATCCGATGTTTCTCTAGTTCAACAAGTCCTCTAATAGAGTTGTCTTTAAAGTATACAAACCTTAATAGATGTTTATTTTGAAAAGAATTTGCGTGATTATGCTTCGATTTTAATCTTAAAACAATATTTTTGATCTTGTATAATGGTTGTCTAAGGTGAATGCCTAGGTTTATTGAAACTTTAGTCAAATCTACAAACTTATCTGATTTTAATAGCTCAGGTTGTAAATACATTTTTTTATGTAATTGTGATAATCTGGTTAAAATGGAAAGGATTTTCTAAGCATTAAATCGATAGTAAAATTGGTTGGTATTTTCATTCTGTTATGACAACTATAAGATTATCGTTTAACACTTACGTAAGCAGCAAATATTCAAAAAACAAAAAAAACATTAAGACTTCCACTGAGACATAACGTTTGATGATCTGAAGCCAGTTTTCTACTAACAAGTAATCATATCAGTAGAGTAAGTATTAAACTGATGGTGTATTAACCTAACTTAGTTTATGTTGGTAAGTTCATCAGAATTGGAGATAAATTCTAGTCCCTTGAAATAATCCTATCAGATATTTTAAGTGATATGAAATATTCGCAAGTATATGAATTTGAAATTCTGAATAGTGGGTGTTGTTTTTGAAAATATTTCGATATAGAAAGTGATTTCCAACTGAACAGTATCTTCAAATGCTCAGAGATGGAATCTTGAAAAAGTTAAGTTGATGAAGAATAAATGGTTGTATTCAATCATGTAGGTGATGTGATGAAATGGAAGGGCAAATTTGCATATTTAACTCATTGTGATTACACACAGTGTAGTATTTGTTTCTAATTTCCAGTGGGATATTTTATATGGTATAATGTCCTTAGTGTTCAATTAACGAGAATTATGTTTAGCATGATATACAGTATGTAATTTGTTATAGCTCTGAGCATTTTTCATATATGTGACTTTTCTAATTAATGATGTGGGTACAAACTAATATATAAATGAGTGTATTTTCGACTAGAATTGTCATCCTGTTTTCGTGTTGAACAGCTCTCCACTTGTATCAGTCTTCCGTGTTCTTACTTCGAGTTGTGGGAATGGCAGAGTTTCCTCGTAATCAAGTATGAGTAATAAGTGACGTCGTTATATTAAAGTCGTCTGATTGATTCCGAGCTGTCCATTGTAAACCGTATTTTCCGTTAGGTGTCGAGGTCTTCATAATCCAGTCGACCACCAGAAGAGGAAGGGGGAGTGTAAACAGCCTTGTTCGACCACGGTCCTTACTTGAAATACATCTGTCAGCTGTCCTCTATGTAACACTTTGCACCCTGCACTCTGCACTGGGTTCCAGACAATGTTGACAATCTTCTCAGGGACTCTGTAGTGTCGAAGATGCTTCCATAATATTCTCCTATCCACACTACCGAATGATTTTTCATAATCAAGGAATTTGATGTATACTGACGAGTTCCATTCAATTAATTGTTCAACGATGATCCTTATTGTCGCGATTCAGTCTATACATGATCGATCCTTACAGAATCCAGCCTAACTTCATTTGATGCTCATGTAAAAATGAATAATTATCAAAATATTTAATTCATTCATCATTACATTAACTTACGTATACATAATTTCAAGGGATTGTGAGAAATTTTTCTTATTGCTCAAATAATTTTCATATGATTCATGAACTATACTATCTGAACTATTGAAAGTATTTAATCCATAAGCAATACATTGAATTAATGTAAAAGTTATTTCGGCATTTCGACCAATATCTGCATCATATGCAGTAATTTTACCAATAGCCAATGCTAAATAAAATTAATAAATAATAAGTAAACAAAATGAAAAATACGAAGTTAATAGAAATCATTTAATATATACTAGCATGATACTTGACCATTGACATAATAAAATACATATGGAGAACATGGGATGTTGTTAGCTGTGGAGTCTAGGATATACATTTCGTCCCGTTTTTTTGAGCTCTTTAGCTAAATGTACTTGCAATTTAGTATTTATATTCACTTTGAGATGCAAATCCAGATACTTTAGCTTCAAAAAATTACAAAAAAATAAGTTAAAATTCATAACCATTGAACAAATGAGTTGCTATCTGTACTCAATAGCTAAAGTGATAAGGTGTTGATGTTTGAAGCGAAAGACACTAAATTAGAATCTTTGATTGATTATCAACACTGGAATCCAAGAACATCCTGTTGGTACTACAAATTTCTTTAAGCTGGATAGTCATATTGTGAAGGTTTCAATATATACCAGGAGAACACTGAAGACCCCATTGGTTTCAGATAGATAACATCACCTAACTTCTTTAATACTGTTTGTGCAGGTTTTCTTAATTTGTTTTCTTTTTAACATTTTGAATGACAAGCATATCATAGGTACTCACATACATATGGGTTTATACAGATAACAGAATCATCAGAAGACACCTCTTGGCTGAATAACTCTACCGCATATATTTAAATTCAGACACATATATCTATTTATTTGAACACATAAACATTAGCACAAGGGGGGCACCAAATACATATGAACCACACAATAACAATGAGGCCAGTAGCAGTTATAATTGATTTATGTGGGGGCTGTGATACTGCCCGAGTGCCCAAACCGAAGCAGGCGGTTTTCTTAGGGGGCCACATCCCGAGCCTTTGACCCGAAGGTCTAGTCCACAGATGCAGTCCCATATTAACCGGTGACCAACAATAGGTTCATACGCCATTTGTTCCCTCACGATTCTAATGCCCGTATGCACCACTGGTTTGGAATCAGGGTTTTCCAACTCCCATAGGTGGATGCTCTGTATCCATCGACCCGGTTAAAGCGCCGGACATTCACTTTTCGTCCTGTTAATTTCGTAAACAAGGCAGTGAGTAACTCCTCCATGGCAGTTGTTGTATGCACATGGCCATGTGAGAGCATTTGGAGAGGGAGAGTGGAATCTCCCCACCCTCGGTCGTACCACGGCATTTGGGGGCACATCAGACGTAGATAGACATAAATAGACGCTCGTCATATTTTCTAATTCGACTTCAGGATTTTCTGTAATAATTCCGGTACTCATTTAGTTATTTATATTACGAATGGTATGAATACTTCTCTTTTCACGTCCATACAGATTTAAACTGATAAATAGATGCTATTCAAATCTCATGCAGATATGAAGGCGCGAATCCGCAAAACAAGAGCAGCATGTCTACAATTGAAGAACATCTGGAACTCAAAACAGTTGGCAATCAACACCAAAGTCACAATTTTCAATACAAATGTCAACACAGTTCTACTATATGGGGCAGAAACATGGAGAACTACGAAAACCATCATCCAGAAAATACAAGTGTTTATTAACAGTTTTCTGCGTAAAACACTTTGGATCTGTTGACCAAATACCATTAGCACCAACCTACTATGGGAGAGAAAAAAGTGGATTCCAGAGCAGGAAGAAATCAGAAAGAAGCGCTGGAAGTGGATAGGACATACTGAGGAAAATACCCAACTGTGTCACAAGACAAGTCCTCACTTAGAATCCTCAAGGTCAAAAGAGAAGAGGAAGACTAACGAATACATTACTTTGAGAAATGGATACAGACATGAGAAGAATGAACAGCAATTGGATATTACTAGAAAAGAAGGCCCAGAACAGAGTGGGTTAGAGAATGCTGGTCGGCAACCTATGCTCGATTGGGTGTAACAGACTTAAGTAAGTAATGAATTTTACTGACATTGTACAAATATTATCAATTTAGTAATGCATACAGTAGAAATATAATGAAACAAAACTTACAAGCTGTATGATTCTCTAATATATAGAATTCTATTTTATTCAATATACTCGGTGGATTATCATTAACATCTTGAATAATTATTGTTATATCAGCACTAGAATTTAAACTTGGCATTCCATTATCTGCAGCATGAATTTGAAAACGTAATTCATTAATCATTTCTCTATCTAATAATTTTTGTACTGTTAAATAACCGGTAGCTTTATTTACATCGAAATAATTTGCATTTTGTCCACTTAACCAAAATGTTAATTTAGCATTTTCACCTATCATTATCAAAGTGAAAGAATAGAGTGAAACATTGTAGATAATTATTTGTTAATTCAGTTAATTTAGATTGTAATTAGAATATAGTAATATATTTATTCATATAAAAAAGGTGTAATCTGATTCTGGTTATTTGACGGAATACACATACTTTCTTTAAGTATAACACTGTTTGACAACTGTACGTTCAGTCACATACAAACATGGAGAACTACGAAAGCCATCATCCAGAAGATACAGGTGTTTATTAACAGTTGTCTACGCAAAATACTTCAGATCCGTTGGCCGGACACTATTAGCAACAACCTACTGTGGGAAAGAACAAACCAGATACCAGCAGAGGAAGAAATTAGAAAAAAGCGCTGGAAGTGGATAGGACACACATTAAGGAAGGCACCCAACCGCGTCACAAGACAAGCCCTCACATGGAATCCTCAAGGCGAAAGGAAGAGGAGGCGGAGGAGAGGAAGACCTAAGAACACATTACTTTGAGAAATGGAGATAGACATGAGAAAAATGAACAAGCATTGGATGGAATTAGAAAAGAAGGCCCAGGACCGAGTGGGTTGGAGAATGCTGGTCGGCGGCCTATGCTCCATTAGGAGTAACAGGCGTAAGTAAGTTTATCATAAATAAGAAATAGTCATTGGCGTTAATTTAATGACTAATTAGTAAGGCTTTCTTACTTTTACAACCTAAAATAAGTCTTCAGTGTAATGATAATCGATACATTATAAGAAAATGTATCAATCAAGAATTTTACCACTTTCAATATTGCATAAATACAGTGCTGATTTGTGTTAGGAAGTATGAGACTTGATTTCACTAACACGAGACAATGATCATCACGATGTCAATAATGATGTGATTAACGGAAATTGAATAGAGCTACAAACTAGAAAGAACGACTTTAGTTATTACAAAGTTATCAGACAGTTCTTTAAAATCAGTATAGCTCTATTACAAGTTCTCTGAGTGTAACATCATGAACGTGTAATATTAGAATCGAGTCCCAATGAAAACATCAGTTTCCTGAATATTGAAAAATGATTGCTGTAAGCTTTTTAATTGTATAAAGCGGTTTTCTGTCATTTATCCTGCTAATTCTCTATTTGATTAAAGAAAGAACAAATACTGTAGCAGTGTAGTGTCGGAATATTTTGTTAAGCCCATACAGCTTTCGGACAGCCCATCCTATTAATTCTACTTGAGTCACATTCTCACCTTGTTATTTATTTGCATATCAGTCTTGACTGTTTTTATATGAGCGCGTAGGTGTGTGTACATTTCTTATCCCATTACTAATCGCATGTCTGTAACTTACTTTTGTGTAACTAGAAATATTGGTTAACGTTTAGCTAAATGGGAGTTGGCTTACCAGCCATCTCCACTGCGCGTCGTTTTGCTTCGTTCTATTCCATTTACTTTATATACAACGCGATTTAAGTCGATGATTATATACGAGGATAGGCGATAACAAACATTCATACGACCTAATTGGAGTCAGATCTCGGGCCACTAAAGTGGAGAGCCCTTTCGACGACATCGTCCGATGTAAATGAGGATTAAATAACGGGCCTCCACAGCAGAATAACATGAATTAACTTATTTTATGGATTCTTCTCAGTTGCACACAACCTAAAACTATAGTGTTAATCATTAAAACAGAAATAGATACTTTATATCAGAAATGAACTGAATTAAAATATGATAATAGAATAGCATTAATAGATCATAATGAGGAGAAATTGAAATTATTTAAATGTTTACTTATAGGTTAAATACATGAATATTCTAGAAGAGTATGGAAACAAAAAATATATTTTCTCCTAGAAACAGAAGATAGATGGTATAATAAGTCTAGTTGAGTAAAGCTTAGAAGTAAGAAAGAAGATACTAGGATTTTGATTAAAGTATATGAAAATATAAAAACAAAGACTTACGCAATAATTTCATAAAAATAAGGTCATCGGGGAACAAAAATTCGGTTTTAATTTTTTTATTGCAACAGCTTTGGCAAAGCGTTACAGTTTGGAATACATTTGTATGTTAATTACCTTAAAATATTTCACAACTTCAGCACCATGTACAGTGTCAAGTGAATGATAAGCGATTGCATTATTAAAAACCTTCAGTTCGCTTAGTCTCAACTATGTAGTATATATTTGGAAATGCGGACACAAACCATTCTTTCTGTTCTTCTGACTTATGTGATTTGACATGTATATGTCAACTGGTAAAACACAATCGGAGTTAACAGAAGGCGGACATTTATCTGCATTTGACTGTCTCAATGAGCATTTAGTCTTGTATAGAGACACCAACTTGGTCGCTGGATACGTTCTTTTTAGTATTGTCTTTGGTCTAGCTATTTCATCACATTTGAAGTCACGTCTTAGGAAAACAGGCTTTTTCTCAACCATAGAAGTGCATTCACATGCACTCGCTGTCCCTTAAAAAATTAATATGGAAGCTTTCGAATTCCACTTTCAGTGTTTAATCTCCATACGAGTAAATCAGTGCCATACATTCCATATTTCTAACCCCAAACAAACTTCTGATATAACAATAAATATCTAATATCTTTACTACACATGGTTTAACTCCCAATATATATGACATAATGGTACAATCCATTACGGATACCATCTACATATTAAATGTTTATTTATTTTTAAAAATCCAGTCCTTAATAATTATTGATTCAGTAACATGAATAGTAATCGCTATGTCACATAAACTGACTACCATGACAAATGTTCATTGGTGGATCCCTGTATGAAGCTGCTGTTCTCTATGTTCCGTTTAAAAGTTCTGCATTCAATTCTGTACGAGATGCCGATTATGCAGTGATCAAAAACCTCAATCTAGGAAAAAATAACTGTCTACTTCCAATTGGGTTTCAATGATTTTCCTGCCGATGGCTTCCAGCTTTTGATAAACTTCATCTTAAATAGTAAATTTTCTATCAAACGAGATGACAGATTGATTATTGTTTGTTGTATGAAAAATTGAATTGATAAAATGAAACTGAAATTTAGTCGGTATGTTTTTATCTTTCTAAATAATCACTTAATCGTAACCAGGACACGAATAAATAACCTAAACTTTTGAACCTTAACATATCCACCGGCTGTTAATGACAACATGAATACATTTCAGTAAACAATTTACTTTTACAATTACAATAACAAATTATACACATTTATGTATTACTGAATATTAAATTTTATGATATAAATACATTAAACATAAGAAATAATATTTTTTGTAAGCAATGATGGTTAGTGGCCAGCAGTGGAATCCAGAACATGCGTTTCGTCCTATTTGGGACAAGCCAAACAATACCAAGTGAATTTAAATTCACCCCATTGTACAAGCAAGTGGCTATCAGGACTCAGTAGCTGAGTGGATAACGCGATGGTGTTTGAAGCGAATGGTACTGGGTTCGAGTCCCAGAGTGAACATCAAACCTGAAATGCAGGTACATCCAGCTGACGAGTCCTGAATAGGACGAAATGCACGTCCTGGGTTTTACTGCTAGCCACTATCGATCATTACTTACAAAAAAGGCAATATCGAGGCATACGCACAGTATGCACATAAGCCAATAAGAGTCTGATCAACTGCAGTTTTAAACCTTAATGGGAAGATACAAGCCAAACAATACCAAGTAAATAAGAAATAACATTCATAATTTCTTTAATAATTTACCTTCATCAGGATCTGTTGCATTGATTTTGTTTATTATTGTTCCTATTTCAGTATTTTCATTAATATTAAAGTAATAATGTGTTTGACTAAATATTGGGGGTTCATCATTTACATCGGAAATTCTAACAGCTACTGATCCTGTACTATTTCTTGGTGGAATACCATAATCTGAACATGTTATCCAAACTGTAATTTTTGAAATGAATTCACGATCAAAACTGGAAGCAGTTGTTAGTTTATATCTATGAAATAATTCAATATTCAATGTGTTAATTTATAGCCACAGTTTTCGATGGAGTTTCATTCTATGAGCTGGATGATTAGGTCGTGGAGCTTTCATTATTCTTCCATCTGAAGTTTGTGTTGATGATATTGTTCAGAAGAACGATGAAAGCTCTATGACCTAACCATCGAGTTCAAAGAACAAAACTCCATCTAAATCATCCTCCTGAGCTACAAATCATCCCCATCATCTCAAAATCAAATAATATTTTTACATATTTACTCTACTGGAATAAATAACGACGTAATACGATGATGGTTTTTATCAACGACTAATCTTAGACAACTATTAAAAACCAAAAAGCGCTGAACAGCTTCTTCATCCTAGTAAGAAACTCATTGATTTTGTACATTTTCATTCATCTTGCTGTTTTTTATTAAAACATTTAATTGATCACAACTGATTGATCAATGGGTGGTGATCAATGTCATGTGTGTCAAATCCTTCTTAATGCAGATCGAAAACTATCGACCAAGTTGAAATGTGGCCACTAGTCTAAGTGACTCAACATTGCGTGAGCTATGTTGAGATAAGATGGTGGTTGCAGGTAGTCAGCAGGAAACCCTGGACCCGGGTTTCGTGCTACTTGGCACTCGTCAACACGGTGTATCTGTGATCTTGAGGGAACTGGTGCGCCCTGACGGATTTGACCCCGTGTCCCCCAGCTTTACAGTCAGAGACCTTGCCACTGAAACTTGGTCGATAGCAATTGATCTTCACTAAGAACAGCTTGACACACATGACTTTGATCACCCTCCCCCGTAATAAATCGGTTGTGACATCTCAGTTCTACAGGAGGTCGTTCGCGGCCCGGATAGCCCACTGGTAACGTCTCTGGCTGTGAAGGTGCGTGACACGGGATCGAATTCATCAGGGAGCACCAGTTTCCTCAAGATTACAGGTACACCTTGTTGACGAGTGCAAAGATAGCACGAAACCCGGGTCTAGGGTTTCCTGTTTACTAGCTTCAACCACCATCTTATCACATTTCATTATTGAATAATTATAAACTCGAAATCTTATAAACAAATATACTTACATAATTGAAAAAGGCATATGCATTTGTTGTAAACTGAATAAAATTTCAGTTGGATTTAATAATAAACTTTCTAATTTTTCTTTATTTTGTGTATCAAATGTCCATTTTCTTGTTTCTGCTAAACGACAACTTACACGACCATTATCTCCACTATCTTTATCTTGTGCAGTAAATACAGCAACTAATCGACCAGGTTTTTCATTTTCTGGAACTAATGCATAATTTGTTAAATGAGCTGGTTCAAAATGTAATTCAGGTGAATGATCATTTTCATCTAATACTGTTATTTCTACAATACAAGTTGTACTTCTTGGTAGACTACCTCCATCATTAGCTTCAATAGTTAATATTATCTATGAGAAGATAAAATAAATTACCCATATTTCAATTATTATTGTTTGTTCCATACTGTATATTCTGTATGTAAAATCAATATTTTTCAGTGCAGTTAAACTCTACCGTTTTTTTATATGGAAACTATAAATAGTTGAGTGATCACACTTTATGATATATTCTTTATTGATTGTTAATCGTTCAATGTTATTTATTATTACGCACTTTTCATTTAACATGATTGAACTTTATTAGTTGTGACTTTTTACTGAAACCCTAATGGCTCATTGACCTGATTCCGATTTGATCTTATGGTGTTAATGAACTATACATGCCGGCTACTCTTGTACATAATCCTTGATTTGATTAGCGTTAGAGCATAACAATATAAAATAAGTCAAATCTCATACACTCGTTACATCAGACAAACAATTCGATAAAAAATAACTGAGTAGCCAATCGCAGAAGATAATTCCAACTCTATTTGACAAAGCGTAACTCACCATTTATAGCTACACAAAAATAAGACACGTGATGAAAACAGATTAAGCGATACATACACATTAGCTCATATCAAAACAGTCAAAGTTATAAACGAATAATTAACAAGATCAAAATGTAACTCAAGGCTAATAAACTTATTGGTCTGTCCGAAAGCTAGAATAAGCCATGCAGGCTTGACATAGTACTAGACATTACAGAACCTTCAAGAGTTTGTACGAAACTAATCCTCATTTAGTACATGACTATTACTAAGACAGAAAGAGATTCTGGAGACTTTTTAATGTGTGAATGGTATTACTTATTGACCTTAGTAAATTATCAATAATGTGAATAGGTTTCAACTTAATAACAGCAATCAATTACCATAACCTTTTTTTAATTTCAATATAAGTGTTATAGTCAACAAAATCGAATCACTGGATGGCCTTTTACTCTTAATGCAGAACGTCTCAGCAGTGCACATTCACGATCCCGCCTCGCGAGATTCAAACCCAGGATCTATTTGGCGCGAACGCTTAACCTCTCGACCACTGAGCCGGTATCCAACTGCTGAGGAGTCCCATACTAGAACTAAACGGCTGTCCACTGCTTCCAAGTTTTCCATGGTGGTCCAGCTTCAATTGACTCATGAATTCAACTATTAACGTGCTATAATATTCACAAAAAACCCCTCTCTGATTAAAATCGAATTAGATGAATAATTTTATTGAGAAAGGTGAGAATTATCACCGTCAAATCATCACATGTCGAATCCATTTATATTAAATGATACACTTATTAAATTGTTACATAATTTTCTGTAAGTGATTATTATTATTATTTTCTTAATTTATCCTAAGAAACGAATAACAGAATGAATATGATGATTTTTATTTTACTGATTAATGTGCTTTTAAAAATTGTACAAAAAACTGAAGTTTTATCAGAAGGGGTTTGTGGAGACCTGCTATCTTATACATGATTGGTTCATTATAGTCTCAGCGAAAATAAGTTAACGGAAAAAAAAATAAAATAAAACATTGCTGAGATGGTGGAGAAGATTTGTAGCTCAGGTGGATGATTTTAATGGAGATTTGTTCTCTGAGCTGGATGGTTTGGTTGTGGGGCTTCAATCGTTCTTCCGAACGACAACATCAGAACAAACTTGAGATAGAAGAATGATGAAAGCTTCACGACTAAACCATTCAGCCCAGAGAAAAAACTCCATTAAAAACATTCCGTAATTAAAAAAACATAAGTTGTAGAATGTTTATCAGCAAAGACAGATAGTGGCTAGCAGTGGAATCCAAAACACACGTTTCGCCCGAAATGGGACTCGTCAGCCCGATGTGCCTGCATCGCAGATTTGATGTTCACTCTGGGATTTGAATCGAGTACCGTTCGCTTCAAACGCCATCGCGTTATCCACTCAGCTACTGAGTCCTGATAGCTCCAGAGTGAACATCAAACCTGAGATGAATGTATATCCAGCTGACGAGTCCGGACGAAATGCACGTCTTGGATTTCACTGCTATCCACTATCCATCATTGCTTATAAAGCTTGTGAATTAAGGCAATATCGAGGTAATACGCACAGTATGCACATATTTCAATAAGAGACTGATCAATTGCAGTCCTAAACATCAATGGGAAGATTCAAGTAAAACAATACCAAGTGAATTGTAGAATGTTTGTTATAAAATTTTCTAAGAGAATATATCATCATTGTGTATCCTAGATACAAAATACAATAGAAAAGCTTAATGTAATAATGAGAAATGGTTAAATTTATAATGATAAAAAATGTAATCAATTCTAATATTAAGTATTGTCTAGACAATTATAGAATGTAATTTTATTTAGCATAAATAAAAGTTATAGAGGGAAATCTAATATGAAAAGATAAACGTATTTGCTTTAATAAATGAACTTTGACAAATGGCTAATTAAGTGTTACAATTAAGAATATTTATACAATAATAATAATAATAATAAGTATTTCTAAGAGAATATATGTATTTGAAGTGATAGCAAAAACAAAAACAAGCGGGAAAACTTTATTTAACTAGTTGCATTGATTTAAACGACAGATTTGATACTAAGGCACTAAGTTTAATTGCATTTTGTATTGTTTGTTTGTATCTTTTTAGTGATGTTTAAGACTGCAATTGATCAGTCTTTTATTGGTTTATGTGTAGATTGTTTTAAGTCATAAGCTTTATAAGCAATCCGCTAAGGATACATATATGCTAAATAAAGATCGATATATTGCAGTTGTAAACACCGACAGAGAGATGCAAACAAACAATACAAAATGAATTTACACTTTACCCCACTGCACAAGCTAGTTGCTATTTAGACCTAGAAGGTAAATGGATTAAGCGATAGCGATTGAAGCGAACGGTACTGAATTCAAATCCTAGATTGAACATCAACTCTGGAATCCAGGTACATCCAGCTGACGAGTCCCGAATTGGACGAAACGCGTATCTTGGATTCCATTACTAGGAACCATCTATCTTTGCTTAATTTAGTTTAATTTCGTCCATATATTGACTATTTGAGTTTCCTTTCAGTTTTAAACATCATCGAATGATAAATAAGAAATGATACTGTTCAATACATAGAATTTTGATTTTCATTTACTACTTGTCACTGATTCCTTTACTTATATTATGGTTGAACAAATGATAATTACCCTTAAATATGAAAACGTTTTGTACGTTCTCTACTTTTTAAACAAACTAATAAGATTGTAAGCAGTTGAATGAATCTGACGCAACACATTAATTTATAGTTTTATGCAACTCTTATTTCATTGAGGTGTGTAAAGAAACATTGTGCGAAAAAAATCAACATTTGCATGGAATTATTTTTGTTTCTCAAATTCAACATTCATGTGCTACTAGGTAACTTGCTGTGAATTGAATAGCCTTAATACTAATGGAAAAGTTAAACGTAAGGCAATTTATAACCTATGCAACTGGATGAATGTTAAGCGAATAGCGTGACCTGAAGGAATTATGGATTTACAATCCTAGGAAATCATTTTCTAGTTTATAATATTTTCAATAGTTGAGATCATGAGTCATTTGAAGAAAGATCAACATGGAAAACCTGGAAAAACTAGACGGTGGTTTCGTCCTATTGCTGGACTCCTCATCAGTGCTCACCCACGGATCCCGCCTCACGAGATTCCAATTCAGGACTTATTAGTCTCGCGTGCGAATGCTTAAACCTCTAGACTACTGAACCGGCATACAATGGTGTTAATGTCTAACTTCAACTAATACACGAAATTGAGCGATACATCCACACCATTGTCTTCAGTGAGTTACTATCTCACAACAAACCCAGTTGAACTCCAATTTTCACTGCTTCTTACTAGAACTCCAAGAAATTCCTCTATAGTATTTGTTTAACAACAGGTTAATTTCAAAGCTTGCGTTTCATTTGTTACACCTACACGAAAGTCTGACCGTCTATCCTATATATATATATATATATATATATATATATATATATATATATATAAATTTCCAGTAATCTAATTATAGGAAAGTAATACGTCATTGAATCATACCAACCACTAATTCCAATGACAATGAGCACATCTTTAAAAAAGCGACCCAGCAACTATATATTATATATAAATATAACTTTTCTAAACATTGACTTTTTTTTAAATTACTGATACCACATGACGACTAAATTTAAACAATCTTGATATATGATAATCATTTTAATTGAATTTCTAGCGAGACTCTAATTTACGGACGACCTTTGAACGAACATTAAGTGACCCTGAGAAATATTAGCCAATCAGCAAACAGTCAGTATAGAGTAAAAATGTATTATGTAAAACCGAGGAAATAAAGTGGATACACTTCTTATACGTGGTTCAAAAACTTGTCAAGGTTAGAAAGAGGTTCAGAGGTTCTAAAATCGTAATGCATGCGATAGAGAAAATCATCCATACGGCTACAGAATAGTCGGAGACATGATAAAGTCTTAAATACTCTTTCAGCCTCGACCACATAGCTTCAATATTGCTTGTGTGCACTCCGGTTGTTGATTGCACAAAATGCTACTTGTGGATAACGACACGATGCACATGACCAAGCCTATGTAGAAGGCTGTACGCTCTCCAAACATCCGTATCTATTGTAGTACCTGGCTGCAGCCAGTGTTACTGGTGCTTTTATTATCCAGTTCGCAGTAATTGTCGTAATTTGCCTTAGCTAGGAATTATATATGAGGTTTTTATCACAAACTGATATCAGCTATGATGCCAGAAATTTATTTAGCTAAATGGATGAAAAGCTTTCGCGTTAACATCCGAGATCTATTATCTTATACCTAATTGATTCGTCCACAAATTATAGTCTCGCCGTCTTATTTGTTATAGCCGCTCAATTATCACTTTTTGTACCAAATTCCCTGTGAACCGATCATACGTTAGCATTAAGCACTGAAGTTGGCGCCGTAACCTTGAAATCGTTGAAACGCCTCTGATTGGCTCGTCCATAAATTAGAGTCTCGCCGAATTTTCTATTTATTTTTTTAAAACTTCATTTATTTGTTTATTTATTAAGTTTTTCAACTGTACTTGAATATTTTTAACAATTTTTTTTAAAAAAAAAACTTATTTCATTAACTTTAAATTCATTGAATAATGAACTATATAACATATCTATGTATATTTATGATGGGCGGCTAATTTAAATTTAAATAATCTATCTTGTAGGTTTGTAGAGTGAAGAAAAAAACAAACAGGCAAATAAAGCAAACCAGAACAATGTAGAATATAATTAATGATTACTATAGTAAATTAATAATTAATATCCTTAATATTTATTTCTATAATAATATGGGGAGAAATATAGAAAAATCAACCTACATCATAGTTGGTTATTCTTGTTTATTTTTTTCAAAAAGTATAATAAATTGTTTAGTTAACAGTTGAGATCATGAGTTATTTGAAGCTAGACCACCATGAAAAACTTGGAAACATCGAACAGCTATTTGATCCTATTGTGGAACTCCATAGCAATGTGCATCTACGATACCTCGCGCGGGATTCAAATCCACGACCTATTAGTCTCGCGTATGAACGCTTGAACCTTTAGACCATTGAGCCGACTGGCATCCAACGGTGTTAATGTTCAACATCAACCAATCCACAAAATTGAACCACACATTCATCGGGCTTGTGGATGAGCATTGCTGAAAAGTTTCATAATAGATTAGAAACGGCCGTCAAATGCTTTAAGGTTTCCTATGGTGGTCTAACTTCAACTGACTCATGATTTCAACTATTCAGTTACCAAAATATCCACAAAAACCTCTTTTTGATATTAATAAATTGTTTGTTAGACATTATGGGCAACTTTTAAAATAAATCAATATGACATTAGATAGATTCTTAAAATGATACTAATTATTTGTCTAATGTTAATTAAATTGAATAATGATTTATGTGTTTATTAATTGTTTACAGCTTATCATTATAATTTATCAATCATAAACAGTAATATGTTTTTATTGTATCCAATGTCTAAATATCTCACAGGTTAAAAGTTATCATTGAATCGAATGATCATTAGGAATTTTGTTTTGGTATACATTTCAGTTTATGTTTGATTGATCATAATAATTTCTTCCAATTTGTTAAATTATCTATCAGTTATTTCAAATTCATTTGTGAAATAATGAGAACACTTTGAAATATGAGTATATTGTTTTCAATAAAGATGATAACTTACTAATCCGCCTTAAGGCTCCCGAATACCCTGGTACAGCCGAGAGTCGGGAGAGTCCGCTCTCCCTCTCCAAATGCTCTCACATGGCCACGTGTATACAACCACCGCCAAGGAAGTTCTACTCACTGCCTTATCGTGGCAGGGGTGTTGCTTACGAAATTGAGAGGATGAAAGGCGAATGTCGGGCGCTTTAACCGGGTCAGTAGACACGGAGAGTTTACCTGGGGGAGTTGAAAAACCCTGATTTCAAACAAATGGTATCCTGAGGGAACAAATGGAGCATGGACCTATTGTTGGTCACTGTCTACCATGGGACTCCATCACCTTACGTTGCTCCACTACCTTGTGGATCAAACTTTTAGGTCGAAGACTCCGAGTGTGGCTACCTAAGAAAACCACCTGTTTCGGTTTGGGCACCCAAGCAGTACCACATCCCTCACACAAATCAAATAAGTTTCGTGTGGCGTATATGTATTTGGTGCCCACTTTTACCAGTATCTATGTGTTCAAATAAATAAATAAAAATCATTCTTAAGAAATTGTGTGATAATGAGCTATATAGAGAGTGACACATAAAACCGACAGCAATTAAATGATGACAGTACAAGATAAAAAATGGACACATTTAGAATATACACCATTGGTTCATGACTAAATAAGAAACTTGAAATTCACATAAAAGTCTATGTACATTTTTGAGAGTCTCAAAATTATACTGTAACAACAGTCTAGTATAGTCATAAAACAAAAAACGTAATAGTGCCTGTAGTTTATTTTGTTTGAGTTGAGTTTAAAGATTAATGGACAGATATATTTAAGTCAACTTCTTAGAGTTGTCTGAGGAATTAAAGTAAGATTAATAGTTGTGTTAAAAAGTATAGAGATCCTGTTCAAGATAACCAATTTTAATATCTTTAGAACAATAGTTCATCTTCGTTGTTCATGGTATTGCTTTATTATGTATAACATAACTGTAGCCTCGTGGTTAGATGACCCTATCAAAATGTTTAATAATTGTAATAATGTAGTGAACTATAATCTTTAAAGCATTTCATCTACTAGAAAAGACTTCAGCCTTAAATTAAAAGTTGAAACTGGCTCCAAACTCTCTGTTAGTTTTCAATTCAAACTAAGATAAAAGAAATTTATTAATAATATATTTACAGTCGGGATTTATAGAGATTTTTTCGATTATATAGGTAACATCAGATAAATTCCGAAGTTCTAATAAGAAATCATAACCAGTGGAATGTGTGATTCAAGTGAGTCTCAGTGAGCTGAATGTAAGGTAGTTACCAAATTCATTGAAAAATAGTTACACAATATTATGAGCTGATGTGTTAAACTTGTAAACCATTAAATAACAGCTCAATGATCTAGATATTAGTCAAAAGGTACCGATTTAGATTTTCTCTGTGATCGCGAATGTACACATCTAAATATCTTCATACTTGAATGAAACATTCGTGTTAGTGCTAACAGGTTTTCAATGGTCGTTTAATTTATATCAGTTTGTAATGATGATTATGGAATATTTTTTCTTATATTATTAACTAAAATATTCATAAAATTATTAACATACTTTTTTGTGTATTTCATAGTCCACTTCCCATTGCACATGTATCCAACCAGTTATTGGATCCAATGTAAATAACCGTATAAATTCTGGTTTAGTCAATGAACTTATTCGATATTTAATTTGTGCATTACTTCCTTCGTCGATATCATTGGCTTTAACCTTTAAATAACCATGGAAAAGAAAAGATTTATGATGACAACTCAATATATATATATATATATAATGTTGAAGGCTGTATTAATGCATTATTTAGTTACATCATTCTGTATACTTCATGAAAAAATTAGGGATAAAAGATATTCCTTTTTAAGCAAAGATGGATAGTTACTAGCAGTGGAATCGAGGACGCGCGTTTCTTCCTATTTGCTTCGTCTATCTTTGCTTAGAAAGCATGTGAGTTAAGGCTATATCGAGACAGTGCGTACAGGAAGCACATATACCAACATGAGACTAGTCAAATGCAGTCCCAAATAACAATGGGAAGATACAAGTAAAACAATACCAAATGAATTTAGAACATAATCCGTTTAATTTCAAACTCATTTATAGAGTTATCATTTTAAAAGTAAATGGTTTTGGTAAGAAAGAAAAAAAGAAATATGTTTATTAGTTATCTATTACACAAATTAATATGAGAATGAATCAAGTTGGATTATAATATTTTGTGTAAAGTTATCTTTAAGCAGAAAGTAACAGCTTATCTTAAACTTACTTACTTATGCCTGTTACTTCTCGTGAAGGAGCATAGGCCGCTCATGAGCTTATCTTAAAGAATGAAAATATTTTAGACTATTATTAGAATTAAATTCACTTGGTGTTGTTTTACTTGTATCTTTCCATTGTTATTTAGGACTTCAATTGGCATATTTGCATCCTGTACGCATTGCCTCGATACAGCATTAAGTCACAAGCAGGTACATCCAGCTGACCAGTCCCAAATAGGACTAAACTCACATCCTGAATTTCACTGGTAGCCACTATCTATCTTTGCTATCATTAGAATTATTAGGAATCGTTGACTTAGTTTGAATTAACATTATTGAAATGATCTTCATGATATTATAATAGAGATTACATAAAAACCAACCAGTTCAAGTAGTTAGTTTACAAAGAAAATAGTCAAAGAATAAGTTTGTGTTAGTTAGTTAGTTAGTTATGATATTGCGTAGTTTAATGAAAACGATTGATGATTCAACATAAAACCTAATTAGTAAAATGGATTCTTACTTATTAATTTAAACAGTTGAGATCATGAGTCAATTGAGGCTAAACCACCATGGAAAACTTCGAAGCAGTGGACGACCGTTTAGTCCTATTGTAGGACTCCTCAACAGTGCGCATCCACGACCACGCCTCGCGGAGTTTGAACCCAGGACCATTCAGTCTCGCTCCAAGCGCTTAACTAACTAAACCACTGAGCCGGCATTACTTACTTACTTCCTTACGCCTGTTACTCCTCGTGGAGGAACATAGGCCGCTCACCAGCATTCTCCATCCAATCCTGTTCTGTGCAATCCTTTTCAGCTTCTTCCAGTTCCTATTCATCCTTTTCATATCTGCTTCTATTATCCGACGTAATGTGTTCTTTGGCCTCCCACGTTTCCGCTACCCTTCAGGATTCCAAGTTAGGGCTTGCCTCGTGATGCAGTTTGATGATTTGCGTAATGTATGTCCTATCCATTTCCATCGTCTTTTCCTAATTTCTTCTTCAGCTGGAAGCTGGTTTGTTCTCTCCCACAAAAGGCTGTTGCTGATGGTATCCGGCCAATGGATGTTGGGTATCTTGAGAAGACAACTATTTATAAATACTTGTACCTGTTTGATGATGGTTGTAGTAGTTCTACAAGTTTCAGCTCCATACAGTACAACTGCCTTGACATTCGTAAGGAAGATTCTCACTTTGATATTGGTTGAAAGTTGTTTTGAGTTCCATATGTTCTTCAATTGTAGGAGTGCGGCCCTTGCTTTGCCAATCCTCGCCTTTACGTCTGCATCTGAACCTCCTTGTTCATCGATGATGCTTCCCAGGTATGTGAAGGATTCCACATCTTCCAGAGTTTCGCCATCAAGTGTGATCGGATTGCTGTTCTTCGTTTTGAATTTGAGACTGAGCCGGCATCCATCGGTGTTAATGTCTAACTTCAACTAATCCAGGAAATTGAGCGACACATCCACCATTGTCATCATTGAGTTATTACCTGATACTAATCTTACTTATCAGTTCGATTAAAATCATACTCTATTATCCTTTACGTGTTTTATAATGAAGTAATAATGACAATTAACCAAACTTTAATGCATAAAAATACACTAGTTCATAATTGTATCATAATGATAAAAAACAACAACATAATGTAGATCAATTAGTTGATAGTTTTGTAAATCACCAGATCATTCACAACCTTTTAAAATGTTGTTCTACTTATTTGTATCATTTTACTTTTTTAAATTGTTCACTACTTAAAAAAAATTCTAAAAACTTAATGTAGGAAAGCTTTAAGAGAAAAAGCAAATTATTATTATCAGTATAGGGGTTGTGGAGATTGTTAAATTTTTGATTGAGATCATGAACCTATTGATGTTAGACCACCATTGAAAACCTGGAAGCACTGGACGGCCGTTTAGTCCTATTGTGGGACTCCTTAGCAGTGCGCAACCACGATCCAGTAGGTTAAGCGTTCGCGCGCGAGACTGAAGGCCCTGGGTTCGAATCCCACGAGCGGGGTCTTTTTATTATGATCACCTTTTTTCATTATTCATTTTCTATTTATGGATTCCTATTAGTTAGGTGCGCACACACACACATGCACACATATAGATAAACACAGACATATAATATTTACTTATTGAAATGTAAGCGTACATTCAAGTAAACTCAAAATACCAGTTACAGTGTCCCATTCTAGGAACTGATTGTAAATATAAGTAATTAGGTATTATGAAAATAAGTTGTATTAAGTTTAATATCAGGAAATCTAAAATTATTCAACAATATGATTTTCTACCAGAGGAATCAATTTCTCTGAACAGTTCTAATAATGAACTAAACTGTTAACATGTTGTTATAGTGTATATATTTTTTATTATTTGTTTACAGTGATCGATTATTAAGTAGTAATCTAGGTTACATTTCAATAGTCATTGGTGCTGGTTAAATTTCCAAGTCTTACCGGATATTAGCAACTGCTGAAATAGATGGCATGTTCTTCTATTTTTGGATGGGTTCGAATCACCAGAAAATCTTCAGTTTCTTTCGAAATCACACTACATCTTGCTAATAATTTCTAAATAACACAAAACTAAGATTTAAAGTATCTATGCGACCACCTTTAACAACCTTAACCATACCAATGATTTACATGTTTCATTTGTCATAATGATCTCCGATGTGATTCAAAATAATCAAATGCCAATCTACATATTTATTTAGAATACAATTTTCATTAAAATGAAAATTCGCTAATTCAATGAAGTGATTTTTCTCTTCGAAATCATGTTACCGACCTAATATCATCCTGACTGTATGCTTAAATGAATATCTATAAAGCATAGAATATTACCCAAATTATAGTTTAATTTTAAAATAATTTCTCAGTATATTTTATAGGCTTACAATTAACAAACATAATAAATAGTCGAAAAGTTAAAATATATTATGCAACGTAACAACTGCTTGATTTTCGAATAATTACTGGTTAGTACAAACTGGTCATAGTGCCAGTATAAACCTATCATCTTCAATTATTTATTTGGTCAGTAATTTCTTGCCAATGCTTGCAATAGTTTGAGTTTTTCTAGCGGTTGTAGTAGTAGCCATCCGGATGAAGAAACCTGAACCATGTGTACAGAAGGAATATCTTCAAGCACTTCTCCTCTCCCGGCCAACCTCAAGGCCAATTAATCAATAGTAATCTTAGCTATTAAATGAACTAATTTGACTATTATGCTTACGACTTTTCGTAGTGAATTGTAATTGTCTCTGTTATATTTATTCACAAATCTTTGTATTATTATTGTTATTATTACTATCGGTTAAACATTATTAATCCCCCCTATACATGATACATTCACTTCGCGTCCATCCCTCCTTATTACGTCTTACTAATTTTCCACACAATATAGCCTTCCACTAAACATTTGATCGAATTGTAATTGCACTATTATTTCTCTCACTCTATCTAATCCAAATACATTCGGATCATGGATCTTAAACTTTCATTTAACATATTAGCTGATTCAAGTTAACATTCTACATTAGTCGTATCAACATTAACAATTGCTGGTTATTATTAATCCTCTTTCTTCTAATTACTCAATATTAATTTATAATCGATATGTCATTATATAATTATTACATAACGTATCTACTCGATGAGTATTATTTCCTTATATACGATGAAAACTAATTGAAAAGAAATTTCTTTGCTCGATCCCTTGCTTATTTATTTACCAACTATCAAAATGAGAATATTGACAATTGACTTGTGAATTCAATTTTTAAATTGCTATAATATCTACAAAACCCCTTTCTGATAATAATCATCATATGCTCACTAGTGACGGTCTCCAAGAGGCATTTCCTGGAGTTCTAGCGAGAAGCCGTGACCAGTGGAGTTCAACCAGGTCTGTGATGAAATAGTAACTCATTGAAGACGATAGTGGACGGTAGCGAAATTTTATGGATTAATTGATGTTAGACATTAGCACCATTGGATGCCGGCCGGCTCAGTGGTTTAGATTTTAAGCGTTCTCGCACGAGAATGACAGGTTTTGTGTTCGAATCTCGTGAGGCGGGATCGTGGATGCATGTTGCTAAGATGTCTCATACTAGGACGAAATGGTCATCCAGTGTTTCCCGGTTTTCCATGGTGGTCTAGCCTTAATTGACTCATAAATCCAACCACTAAAAAATATAAATTTTATTACGAGAATAAAAACTATATATAGTCACTCAAAAAAAAACTAGAGGAACCATTTAAATGAAGCATGCAGTATGATTATAATCTATTTGGGTTTTTTTCATTTTATTATGAATATTGACTGTATCATGCTTGATTCAATAATAATTTATCTATAAAAATGGAATTGTCTTTTAATTAATTAAATGACAAAATAAAATAACAAATAAAAATGGCGCCTAATAGGATTTAAATTTATAGAAGCATCAAAATGTAATTAAATTTATTATTATTATTATTATTCACATTAACACAGTGGTTTTGAATGAAAAAAAACGTTATCAATAGTGTTTTGAGGTTATATGAATCGACTCATAAACGTATATATCTCATAAGCATTGATTGTATTGTTTTCACTTTAGTTTAGACGTCTAATAAATATACTTCAAATGTAAGGTGAATATGTAATTTAGATGAAGGCTACATCAGATGGTTACTATGTAGTGTCGATTGATATGTTAAGCCCATATACCTTATTCTAGCTACTAGACAGGCCAATTTATCTATCCTAGTTGAGTCACATTTTCACTTTGTTAATCATATTCACTTATCAAACTTGACTGTTTTTATATAAACGTATGTGTGTACACGTCTTATCCTACTCACCGCATATCTGTAGCTTATTTTTGTGTGACCATAAATATCGATTAATGCTTGGCTAAATGGTGTTGACTCACATGCCTTCTCCACTGCGCGTCATTTTGCTTAGCTCTCTTCTCTTTGCTTCTCCGATATTTTGTCTGGACCAACGATTATATCAAATATACGTATTTAAAACTTATTGTCGTATTTGAATTATTTGATTCCGTTATTAAATAACGCGATTTAGGTCAACGAAATATACGAGGATAGGAGACATATATATTTCGACAGCAGTTATTCAATAACGAACATTCATACGATCTCATTGGAGTCAGATCCCGGGCCACTAAAACTACGTCATTGAGGGTTATAATCATATATGAAAATATAGTTTATTACAATAAACATATTATTACATGTATTACAGTCTCTTCTATATCGTTCTAAACACTAAAGTTTGCTACAAAAGCAACGAAAGCGAGAAGACATTTTGTAATGGTTTTATTCAAGTTTCATAATCCTTAGAATCAGGTGTTCATAGCGACTACTAAGGATCAAATCCAGGACATCATTTAAGTAGAGCATTGAGATTTAATAAGGACTGATAATTTTTTTCATGATATCAATCTACGTCAAAGTTCATGTAATGTTTCACAAAATCCACTGTCGTCCCATATGTGAAATCTTAATCAGAAACGGTGATATGTACACTCTATCATACTTTATCATACAATACTACGCTTTTGAGGTTTCAGTTTCAGAGTATTACCCATAGATAACTATGTCAGTACCCAGTGGTTCACAAGTACAGATATAATCAATTTATGATGTTGCACGGTCCTAATTTATTAACGTCCCTTATAACTGTTTCAGTTCCTTTGTGGATGAAATTCACCAATCATACCTCAAATGTTTAGAGATTATAAAGTTAACATCGATTGATTAGTTATTTATAAATAATGCGTTTAAACATACAGCGAATGTTATAACACCTCAGTTCATTTAACTTCTATTCATAGATCAGTTTACATGGTTAAAGAAATACTATTTAACTGTTGATTGTACATTTACAGTAATTATCAGAAGGGTTTGTGGAGATTTTAGAAATTTCACAGATTGAAATCATGAGTCATTTGAAGCTAGACCACCATGGAAGATCTGCAAGCATTGGACAGCCGTCTCGTCCTAGTATGGGACTCCTCAACAGTGCGCATCCACGATCCCGCACCCCGCGAGGTTCGAAAGCAGGACCTATCAGTCTCGCTCGAGGCGCTCGACAAACTAGACCACTGAGCCGGCCGGCGTCCATCTGTGGTAATGTCTAACTTCAACCAATCCATGAAGTTGCGCCACCGTATACCATTGTCTTCAGTGAGTCGATATCTCAAAACAGACCTGGTTGAACTCCACTGGTAACGGTTTCCCACTAGTACTCTAGCACTATCTCTTGAAGTCAGTCACTAGTGAGCATATGGTGATTATTATCAGGAGGGGTTTTGTGGAGATTTTAGAAATTTCACAGCTTGAAATAGGAGTGCGGGATCGTGGATGCGCACTGCTGAGGAGTCCCATACTGGGACGAAACGGCCGTCCAGTGCTTCCAGGTTTTCCATGGTGTTCTAGCTTCAATTAACTCATGATTTCAATCTGTGAAATGTACAGAAATTCTTGGATAATTTGGATTGATGGATTCTATACTACAAACTTCAATGTTTAAATGTTATTAAATAGATTGTTTTTTTCTTCGAAACTCTTCAGAGAAATATATACAAACTTAGAATTTATATATTCGCTATATTAATATTGGCTTAAAAGAAATATTCTACAGTTAGACAACTAATAATAAATTTCTTTTTTATTGAATTAGTGTTCTTTTTTTCCCTAATTTATATAACTTGTTAACCAACAGAGTAAAATCTAATCTAGTAGCATAACTATAATGAATCTTTGATCCTATTTTCATACCGAATAATTTACTGTTATTAAACTACATATGATCATTAAGTAAGTTAAAATATAAACAAACCATATATTGTGATAATTCGGATTGTGTATTATTTTCAGAGTATGATAAAAGAAGATTACCCAGGAAAGAACGTTAATAAATATATACTGTATTTAAAAGAGTTACTACTAATACGTGTATATGTATGTATACATCTACTGTATAATTTGCCAAATTTATGGTAGTTTATATTGCTGATGAATTATATTCAAACCTCGTCAGCTATGACATTATTGAGATCAACACAATTCGATTTCAGTAAACTACATGTACTTTGATTTAACGAAACTGTCAGTTGTCCAGGCAATATAAGTTGTTTAGTTCTGCTGGAGTGATCCAGAAAATTTCTTGCAAAAGACAAGCAAGCATCAGGAAACACTAAGAAGCGTTACATCCAATCAGCGTTCACTTGAAGTTTTAGCCAAAAGTATTAAGGAATTCAAACGTCACATGTAGAGGTTCTGGTTGGCTGATTGCTACACTGCTACTATGTTTAGTAGCATTCCAGAATCTTTTAGAAACCCAAGGACATTTAAAATAATATAAAACCCTGTATTTTCTGTATTGAAATGAACCTTGGAGTTAACTACTTCTCGCATACTTTGCGTCTTCTCTCTCGTTGTTCAGGTCGCTGTATAGTTCTAGTTTGAGAGTTACAGAATAGCTTAGGAAACGGATTTGCATTCAATTCACAAAACCTATCAATTTCAAACTCTAGATAATAATATAAAGAATGTCTAACTGATATAATCATCACTTTAGCAGCCGAGTCCTAGGACTGAAAAACTTCAGAATGATGAGCTCAAAATAGAATGAAGATTGTTTTCTGGATCCTATTGTTAGACACAATCTAAACATACTAAAAAAAGATTATATTGAAGCACATGTTCTAGATGTATATATGCCGAGAGAGACTGTTCAAAATCCAGACATAAATATTTGCACACCGTAAAAGCACAAACCTTTAGGAATTTAGACATTTTGGAAGTTTATGTATAACTAAATAAACCATGTGAAATCGTTATCAAAAATAATCCACAGGATAATGTAATACTCTAAGAAGAATTCAAATATTACCAGTCTTCAAAATAATAATTTTATAGGCATACGAAAATTAATTACTTGTATAACTGGTGTATGTGGTCGAGCATTTTCATGCAAATCCACAGTATATGTATCTTTTTCAAAAATCGGAGAATTATCATTGAAGTCTGTGACATGAACTTGTAACTTGATTGTTGTATTTCTACTTGGTGATCCACCGTCTATAGCAGTTAGATTGAATTCATATAAAGATTTTGTTTCTCTGTCTAATAGGCTTCGAACAATTAAACGAAGTTCATGTCTCGGACCAGGTGGTGATCTGATAAAATGATCAGAATATGATTGAATATCACTAGACTGTATATCGCCAGAGAATTGATTGTTTGCCATTGTAGCATCTCTATCAAGTGATGTCCATTCTAACTGGAATTCAGGAAATTGAGGTTCAATCATATATTTCATAATGTTATTTGACCCAGCATCTTGATCTACAGCAGGCGTTAGTTGAATGGAATCTCCGATAAGGCTACTTTCTGATACGTAAACATGCATCACATCCTTGAAACATAAAAATCAAATGATTTCCAATTAATGTCAAATGATTTCATTTTCATCAATATAACACCATAGTTTTTTACATCTGATGTTATTCAGACTAAATATACAAATAGTTTAAGTAAGTAAATAACATTATTTAAATAAGATATGTATTAAGATTGAAATGCGATAGCTATTTGAAGTTTATCACTGTGATATATGAATATTCGATATAACTTCACCCTTTTAGTGGAATGCACATGTGCTACAAGCCAACGGATGTTATTTACCAACTTTAAAAACAGAGTAGATACCTTTTAAAATGATAGAATGAAGGGCCTGTCCAACTTAATAAACAGAAATAAATATGTAATCGATGTTCATCAGTTATTTTTCTAAAGTTAGGAAAGTGTTGTTTAGCAGATCCTAAACGTGAATGCTGTCCCACCTATTTATACACTAATAAAACGATAATGATTGCATTATGCAGTACTGTAAATTATGTTATCGACCTCAAAATTCGTATCAGCCATCATACACTATTGCAATGGATTCTCTCTTTAACATGCATTCAAATAGTTACATACTTACTTACGCCTGTTACTCCTCATGGAAGATCATAGGTCTCTCACCAGCACTCTCCATTCAACTCTGTTCCGGAAAGTCCTTCCCAGTTGCTACTCATCATTTTCATGTCTGCATCCAATTCCCAACCCAGCGTGTTATTCGGCCTTCCTCTTTTCCGTTTCCTTTTACGATTCAAAGTTAACCCTTGCCTTGTGATGCAGTTTGGTGATTTCCGTAATGTATGTCTTAACCACTTCCAACGAATTTTCCCAATTGATTCTTTAGCTGGAACCTGGTTTCTCCTTTCCCACAGCAGGCTGTTGCTAATGGCGTCCTGTCAACGGACATTTAGTATCTTGTGTAGACAATTGTTTATAAATATCTGTACCATTTTGATGATGGTTGCGATAGTTTTCCACGTTTCGGCTTCATACAGTAGAACTGTCTTGACGTTCCTACTGAAGATTCTGACTTTGATATTGGTTGACAGTTGCTTGGAGTTCCATATGTTCTTCAATTGTAAGAATGCAGCCCTCGCTTTGCCAATCCTCGCATTTACGACTGCATCTGGTTCATCAATGATGCTTCCTAGGTACGTGAAAGATTCTATATCTTCCAGAGCTTCTCTATGAAGAGTAATTGGGTTGGTGTTCTCCGTTTTGTATTTGAGGATGTTGGTTTTCCGCTTGTGTGTGTTAAAGCCTATTATTGCAGAACCTGCTGCTACACTGTTTGTTATGACCTGCATTTGATGATATGTATGGGACAGAAGGGCCAGGTCATCTGTGAAGTTCATATCGTCTAGGCGCATCCAAGCTGTCCAATTTATCCCGTACTTCTCGACACATATCGAGGTCTTCATAATCCAGTTGACCACCAGAATAAAGAGAAAGATGGAGAGTAGGCAGCGTTGTTTGATTCCGGTCCTCACTTGGAATGCACTTGTCAGCTGACCTACAGGCATTACTTTGCACTGTAGTCCGTCATACGAATCCCGTATGGTGTTGATGATCTTCTCAGCTACACACACCATAGTGTCGGAGATGTTTCCATAAGAACCTCCTATCCATACTGTCGAATGCCTTCTCATACACAAGGAATTTGATGTACAGTGACGGATTCCATTCAATTAATTGTTTAGCGATAATCCGTATTGTCGTGATTTGGTCTGTGTACGACCGATCTTTATGGAATCCAGCCTGTTGACCTCTAATTGAGACATCTTCTACGTCTTTCATCCGGTTCAGCAACACTTTGTTTAAAAAATTTTCTGGTACCGATATTAGTGTGATGCCTGTGTAGTTCTCACATTTGCTCAGATCTCCATTCTTTGGAATATTGACGGGGTATCTTCTTCCATTGTGTTGGTATTTGTTCTTCCTCCCAAATCTTCCTGAATAGAACGTGGAGCATGTTTGCGTTTACATCTGTGTCTGACTTCAGTGTATCAGCTGGTTTATTACCAGGTCCTGCCGCTTTTCCATTCTTGATTTGTCGTATGGCCATCCTGATTTCTGTGATCGTTGGTGTAGTATTAGCTAAAAGAAAGTCTATAGGTGCTGTTTCGATGTCCAGTGGGGATGGTCTATTCAAGAGTTCTTCGAAGTGTTCCATCCATCTGTTCCTCTGTTCTTGAATCTCCGTGATTTTCTTGCCCTGTTTGTCCTTGATCGGTGTCTTTGGTGTCCTATATTTCCCTGCTAGTTTCTTCGTCGTGTCATATAGTTGCTTATATTTCCTTCTCTTGAAGCTTTACCGTTGTCGCTACTAGCTCTTTTACTCATCTCTGCTTGTCAATTCTAATGCTCTTCTTCACTTGCTTGTTTACCTAATGTATTCAGCTTGTGCCTTGACTTTCTCTGCTCATGTTTGGTCGTTGTTAATTGCTGTTCTTTCTTTCTGGAATCTTGTCCAGGGTTTCATAGGAATCCATTCCCTATGATGATGCCACTTGTCGCTCAGAACCTCCTGGCACGTTGAAGTAAGTGCTTCTTCGATCCCTCTTGGGTCAGAACTTAAGTGGTATAAAGTGTTTATTCTGGTTACCGTTTCTTCAGCAGATTTTTTTTCTACGGGATGGGGTTACTGACCCCACGACCAATCCTTCGTTTGGGCTTGGTGCTGGCGCTAGCCCTAGAAGAGCTACAGGTGAAGTTCATTCAAATAGCAATCACTCAAAAATCTATTTTTATAAATATTTGTCACTTATTGTTTGTCGTGAAAATTTTTTACCAGTTCATTTGTATGAACAAAATTGTCTTTATCCTTTATTATATTTAATCTATCAGTTTCAATAAAATCGTTTTTCTTTTTTTTAGAAGATAGACAAAGAGAATATGCAAACATCTTAAGTGTTTCCATCTAAGATTTCATGTATTTATCATCAAAATAATCTACAAAATTTTCATAAAAACGAATAAGTACATACTGTTGACATTCTTGCTCTAACCATGCAGTTATAAATATAGATACACCTAGTTTTTTAAATAGATCATCAGCCGTAAAAGCATAACGTTTTTTTTAAAATCCAGATATTGTCACTTTTGCCAACCTTAAATAATACTGAAATTAGTTTTTGACTATAAGATTGGTTGGAATTAAACATTAACACAATTGAATGCCGGCCTGCTCAGTGGTTTAAAGGTTAAGTGTTCATGCGCTAAACTGAAAAGTCCTGAGTTCGAATCTTATGAAGTAGGACCGTGGATACGAACCGCTGAGAAGTCCCACAGTAAAACGAAACGGCCATTCAGTGCTCCCAAGTTTCCCATAGTGGTCTTGCTTTAATTGACTAATGAATTCAACTATTAAATTATTAGATAAACATTTATTATTACCCATCTCATTGAATTAATAATAAAAAAATTCCACTGATTGAAATCATGAATTAATTGAAGCTAGACCAACATGGAAAACCTGCAAGCACTGGAAGGACATTTCATCCTAGTATAGGACTCCTCAACAGTGCGCATCCACAATCATGCACCCCGTGAGATTCGAAAACAGGACCTATCAGTCTCGCTCGAGGCGCTCGACAAACTAGACCACTGAGCCGGCCGGCGTCCATCTGTGGTAATGTCTAACTTCAACCAATCCATGAAGTTGCGCCACCGTATACCATTGTCTTCAGTGAGTCGATATCTCAAAACAGACCTGGTTGAACTCCACTGGTAACGGTTTCCCACTAGTACTCTAGCACTATCTCTTGAAGTCAGTCACTAGTGAGCATATGGTGATTATTATCAGGAGGGGTTTTGTGGAGATTTTAGAAAATTTCACTAGTTCAAATCGTGAGGTAATTGAAGCTAGACCACCACGGAAAACCTGGAAGCACTGGATGGCCGTTTCGTCCACGTTTCTCATCCACGATGTGAGCGTGGGTTCGAGTCCCACCTCCGGCACATGCTTGAAGAGTCCCATACTGGGACAAAACGGCCGTCCAGTGCTTCCAGGTTTCCCATGGTGTTCTAGCTTCAATTAACTCATGATTTCAATCCGTGAAATTTTTCTAAAATCTCCACAAACCCTTTCTGTTAATAAAAAAACGGTTGAAATTTCTTAAGAATTTTGCTAATATACATAAGAAATATTTCTCAACTATCTACATTCCAATACAAAATCAATTTGAACATGTATTCCAATAACAGGTTACATAAGTCGTATTTCTTTAAACAAACATAATACAGTGAAAGGTTTAAACAGTACCAATGGTCATATTGATTCATTACATAAACCGTATAAGTAATATGAAGGAAGTTGTGAAATGTAAATATTTCAATAAAGAAAATATTTACGAAATTATAACAAATAAAAGTTTACATTAGAAAGTAAACATATTTGCAAATCTAAAAGTGACTGAAAAGATCTATAAATTAAATGAATGTACACTTATAATAACTTCACTTGGAGACACTTTAGTGCTACTGACAATCCCAAATATGGATAGAAGGAAGAGGATTGGGCATAGGGTTAGCGAACCCATTCTGTAGACAACTAACTCGCTAAAAAAAATACACAACGCTAACCAGAAAAAAATAATTTAAACAATGATCAACAAAAATGTATCTATTGATTAAAAGTCCTTTTTGTTTGTTGTAGTTTAGATGTTGATAAGTGATTCTTTTTTATATAGACCGAAATATTCATGAAGAAAAACTAACAAGAATATAGTTGGACTGGATTACAGTATACTTTTTAAAGTGAACAGAACCCAATTAGCTAGATTTGTTTATAGCTTATTGGATAACGAATACAATGGTGTATATTTGAAAACGTAGTTTCCAGGTTATAAAGTTCGTCTTAAAATGGTTTTAATCCATTGGTACTAGTTCACCTCTTCAGATTTAATAAAAAAATTGAATTCAAGGTATATGACATTTTTTGTACAACTGACTAATAGAAAGTAAGTTACTTGAAAAGATATATAAAATTATAATTAGCCTATTTCTTTGTGAATATACTCTTTGTCTACCATGAACTAAGCTACCTTAACTAAAGTTGTGGCGTATGTTACTTATATCGATAGACCTAAATATTATGTAACACCAGTGTGAAATGGAAAACCTGACAGCAGGTTAGAAAAACCGAGTTGACGAAAACAAAAAGGGGGAGTAGAAAGAAATTGTAACTTGGAAGAATATGAAGAACAATAGATGTAAGCTCTGCAAATGACTTATTTGGTGATATAATAATTTATGGACGACCCTTGAGCGACGCCAAAGTGATCTTGAGAGTGTCTACCTACTTACTAGGGCTAAATGATGGTTATAAAGCAGTATGAAGAGTAAGGATTATGATTTACAGTTGATGATTAGGGTTAAGAATGAGATTTATGGTTTTTCATCACAAATTGACATCAACTAAAATGCCAAGACACAATTTGGTCTAATTGTTGAATGAATTTTGCGTCAAAATCCAAAACTTATTATCCCTAATCTGTTTGGTTCATCCATAAACTATAGTCTCGTCAAACAATCCGTAATTATCTCGATAATGATATTAGAAGACGAAGATTATCAGAACTATGTGATGTGATGTGATGTGAATACTTTCGTCAGATTGATGGAGTTGCTATGGGTGGTCCGCTAGGACCATTACTAGCAGATGTGTTCATGGCACATGTTGAAAATCAGACTGACGAATTAATCGGAAACATGTCACTTTATAAGAGATATGTGGACGATATCTTAGTTGTTTGTGAAAAAAAAGAGGATATGCACGGTTTATTAAATAAACTCAACACCCTCCAAAACCATATTAGTCTCTCATGTGAAGAGGAGAAAAACGATCAGCTTCCCTTCCTAGATATACTCCTGAGTAGACGAGAAGATGGTTCAGTAAAGCGATCTATTTTTAGAAAACCAACATGGACAGGTCAATATCTAAGTTATTATAGTTATTGCCCTGTGCAATACAAACGTGGTTTGATAAGGTGTCTTTTCATCAGACTCGACCGTATTTGTACCAATGACGCCATTGATGATGATGTTAAGTTGTTAAATAAAACGTTAATAGAAAATGGCTATCCTCTGAAATTCATAAATAGATGGAAAGTCCATGGTTCAGCGAGACCTACTATAGCCTCGGTAGCCTTTTACTGAAACAACGACTTAAATCAGTCATCAATAAAACCTATTGCGCAGCAAAGGTCATCATCAAAGAAAGAACAAGGTGCATGCTTCATTCAAAACCTAAAGTACATAGAAACGATTGCGTCACATCCCACTGTGTTTACCAATTTAAATGTGTGTGTGGTCACACATACATAGGGAGGAGTAATCGTGATCTCAACATTAGGGTGAGTGAACATGTACCCAAATGGCTTCAGAAACAAATACAATCAAGTGACCCGATAAGAGCAGAGGATAAACATCCATCATCCTCTATTGCTAAACATATAATTGAAACAGGTCACAAGATTGATCTAAATTCAGCTTTTGTAGTGCTGTATAAAAGTGTAAAAGGGCGTATACTAAGGTTCATTGAAGCCTTAGCCATACGAAAATTCAAACCCCCTTTATGTGTTCAAAAACAGTTTGTTCTTACCTTAAACCTACCCTGGTAATATTGACTTATTATCCAGAGTGATTAGGTTTCAAATTGTGTTCACATTATTATTATTATTACTCTTATCATTATCCTTATCTCCTCTTACCCCGTTTCCTGTCTAGTTGACCTTTTATTTTTATATATAAATGCTCTTAACAAGTATATGTGTGACCAGATTGTTCGAAATGTATTGCGCTAATATATCACATAGTTCTGATAATCTTCGTCTTCTAATATCATTATCGAAATTTATCAAAGGGACTAATTGTTTTAAATCCGTAATTATGTATTAAATAATAAATTAGTTATGGTGGAAAAGATTTGTAGCTCAGGTGGATGATTTTGATGGGGTTCTGTTGTTTGAACTGGATGGTTTGGTCGTGGAGCTTTCATCGTTCTCCTGGACGACATCATCAGCACAAACGTCAGATAAATGAGTGTGCCACACCTAGGTGTGACACAAAAACCGACAAAATCACTAAAATTAATCCTATGTATACCAATAGATGAAATAACAAAGGAAAACTAATCAAACATCAGCTACAAAATAAATTGTGCTAACTTCGAAAAACACTACATCGGACAAAGCGGACGCCCTCTTCACCTTCGTCTACATGAACATCAATTGGCAGTCAAACGCCACGATATTTCCTCACTTATATCAATACACGTGGACAACTGCGGACACTCATTCGATTGAAAAGCTGTGGAAATCTTGGACAGAGGAAATTCCAAAAACACCAGAGAATTTTTAGAAGCCTGGCACTGAGGTCAATCAGCAATGAACAAGGACATTGAAATCGATCCAATTTATCAACCAGTGAGAAAAATTAAGCACAAATATAGGAACAAAGATCAAACCAATGGAAGAAACAACCAAAACAAAGATGTAAACAATGACATATTTAAGGTCAATAAGAACTAATCAACGTCGAGGTGTACAGAACAAGCTGTAAAACGCATATGAAGAAATTCGAACACTTCATTTCCATCTCAAGTTTGTGCTGATGATGAAAACTCCACAACCGAACCATCCAGCTCAGAGAACAAAACTCCATCAAAATAAATTAGTTATCCCCATTTAATTTTTCATTTATTACAAAGTAACTATTTTATTACAGTAATAACCCAAATAGAACTTGACACCGTTGTTAACATATAAAAACTATATTCATATATATATTTTACAACAACAAAAAAAAGAAAGAATAGTTACCTGTTTTTGATGATCATCAGGAAAATTTAATAAACCTGATTTACCATTTAATAACCATATTGGTGAATTATCATTAATATCAATAATATGTACACTAACAGTAATAATATTAGTATATTGATCATCTGAACGAATATTTAAATCTAATTGACAATTAGTTAATTGTTCATTATTAATTAAATTAAAATTTTTATTAAAATAATTTATATTATTATTATTATTATTAGGATGATTTAAATATGTACAACATGATTTAAATAATGGACATAATTGATCACGATCAATCCGTCTAGCAACACGTATAATACCAGTTTTTGCATCTAAATGAAAATATTTTGACTGTGGTTCACTATTAAATATTTGATAATAATTCGATTTTTTTCTTTTTTCTTCTTTTTCTTTTTCTTTTTCTACGTCTTCTTTTCTTCTTCTTCTTCTTCTTCTTCATTATTATCATTGTGATTGTGATTAATTAAATAATTTTCATTAGAATTATTCATACGATTAATTGGAAATTGTAAATTAGCTACTTCTCTACCAATTGATTCTTCTTCAAGTAAATAAACATTTAATTTTTTTAATTCACTTAAAAACATTGTCTGAGTTAATGAATTATATTTTTGTATTTTTCTATTATTATTATTATTATTATTATTATTATTATTATGTATCAATGTATATGTACAATAATTTGTAGTAATAATAATTAAAATTAATAAAAAATTAATTAATTTAAAAAAATTTAATGAATATAATTTCATTTGTTGCTAGGTAGTTAAGTTATGGAATAGTATAGATGGATAAATTTAATTCAATATATATTCAATATATTATTGACAAGTCATTGTTTATGATCTAAACAGAAAAAAAAAAAAAAAAAACAAAATTAAATAAAGGAAAACATAGAAAAAAATGATATGAAGTATAAATAGTAAAACGTTATTAGAATTATCATTACGTAACATAGTTAAACTGAATAATTAAAATAAAAAATAAAAATCATTTCTATTTAATGTGAAATGGTTACACAGAGCTTAATGTTAATGAAGTTTTCATCCATAATCCAACTTTATAAATGAGCATTTTAAAAAAAAGAAAGAAATATTGGTAAAACTATAATTTACGAACGAGCCAATCAGAGACGTTTCAGGGTTTTCAAGGTCATGGCGCCAATTTCAGTACTTGATGCTTATGTACGATTGATTCACAGTGAATTTTAGAGAAGACGTGATAATTGAACGACTACAATAGTTGGGAATATTAAAAAGTTGGTTTGTTTGTAATTAAGGTAATCAACTGACTTATGGACCTCGTGCAAACTACCATGATGTTGTTTTTCGATATAATATGTGTTGGAGAAAGAAATCTGCTAAAATAGGGATTTTCGCTCAATCCAGATTAAGACTAAGGCAAATTATGACAAATTATGGAAAATTATGGCAAATTATGTTGTGAGCTGGATAATAAGAGCACCAGTAATACTGGCTGCTACCGGGTACTGTAATATATACGGATGATTGGAGAGCGTACAGCTAGCTACATAGACTTGGTTACGTGCATCGTATCTTTATCCACAAACAGCATTTTTGGACACGAAAACCGAAGTACGCACAGACAATATTGAAGCTATGTGTTCGAGGCTGAATGAGGTTTTACGATTTTATCATTTCTCCAGAGGCCGATAATTATGGAGCCATATGGATTATTTGCTCTACTGTATTCATTACGATTTTAGAACCCCTGAACATCTTTCTAACCTTGATAAGTTTTTGAACCATGTGAAAGTAATGTATCCACTTTAATTCTTTGGTATTTTATAATATGTTTTTACTGCATACTAACTGTTTTCTGATTGGCAAATATTCCTCAAGTTGATACAAGATTCGTTCAAAGGTCGTCCATAAATTAAGGTCTCGCCTAAACATTTATATTAGTGAAAATGGATGGTGCCTAGCAATGGAATTCAGAATGCGCGTTTCGTCCTGGTTACGATTAGTCAGCTGGATGTACTTTTAGCCCACATTTGATGTTCACTCCCATAATTGAATACAGTAACGTTCGCTTCAAATGCGATTGCGTTGTACACTTAGCTACTGAGTCCTGATATTCATTAACTTGTGAAATGAGGTGAAGTTTTGATCCAGTTTTATGTTGTTTATTTGAATCTTCTCATTAATATTTAGGATTGCGATTGATCATGCTATTATTAGATTTAGATTCCCAGAGCGAACATCAACTCTGGGATCGAAGTACACCTAGCTGACGTGTTTTGAATGGGACAAAATGAGCGTCCTGGATTCCTAGATTCCATCTTTGCCTATAATGCTTGTGACTCAAGGCAATGTCGAGACAATTCGAACAGTATGAACACACGCCAATAAGTGGCTGATCAGTTGCATTCCTAAACATCAATGGGAAGTTTAAATTAAAACAATACCAAGTGAATTTATACTAGTGGTTTATTAAAAAGATAATAGGATTAATGATACTTTGGTAATCATACCTTTTTCACAATAAATTCATGAATATGCGTATTTTTTTCGTTACTTTTCATTATTAAAATGTTTCCTTCAAGCGCATATCCTAAAACTCTCCAAGATGGCTATCTAAATTTGAACGCATATCGGTTAACAGTTAAATTGTTGGACATCTGGTCCATTCCAGTCGTCTTTGCACACTAGAATCCTCACCAAAAGTTGTCAATGAAGTCGAAATAACAGATTTTCAGTTAAACTGAACAATAAACTAGTGCATAGCAGAGGTTTTAGCAATTCATCATCGTATTGAGGAGGGGCATACCTAGCTTTTATTTTCTTAATTGCCTTTTTATACGTGTTTATTTCTTCGTTATCTCCTCTTTATTAGTCAGGTAAACAAACTTTTACACCCCGTTTCTATATAACTATTACACCGAAAGCCCTGGGTTGGAATCCCGCTAGCGGAATCGTGGATGCGCACTGCTGAGGAGTCCCACAATAAGAAGAAACGGCCGTCCAATGCTTCCAGGTTTCCAACGGTGGTCTAACATCAATCGGTTGATGATCTCAATCAAAAACGTAATAATCTCCATAACCGCTATACCGTTAATTCTTTTAACTATCGGTACTTTTGTTAATTACTGAACAATCTTCTGTTTTACTGTAAACCACTTTATGCGTAAACTGACTGTAAATACAATTATATGAGTTTAGTAAATAACCAATTATCGTCGTTCATTTCCTTCCGTTTAAATTTATTCATCAGTGTTAGGTATATACTTACATTTAAACTAAGAAAAGAGCAATACGTCCTTCTTCTTGACTATTTGTTACCTGGATGAGTTCCCATGTCTTGAAGATAAAACAGACAACTATTTGTGATTGAATTTCCTTAAAAAGTTGTTTTACATTTCGGTGCGTTTTGCTTTATTCAATAAACTCTACTGACTTCGTATTAATTTACAAAAGTAACACGATGCACTTTGATCAAGATTCAGCTGATTTTGAGTCGAGTTTCATTTGCTTTATTCTTTTCAATAAATCTATTTATTTGATTCTACAAAGTTTTGTCTTAGTTGGTTCATACATATTAACTACAACCACACCATTTCTATTATTTGATCGACTTAATTCCAAGCCACAAATGATAAGATATGAAATTTAAAAGTTAGAAGAATGAAAATTCTATGTACTCCGGTTGTTAGTTTAATGTCAGTCAGTTTCATCACCATCTGATGATTACAAATGAGCCTACCATTAAAAAAATTTGGTCACCGAACAATCCATAGTATGTTTTCTCGTTACCCAGTATCTACATTGAAGCAAAAAACGATAGTCTGTTCAAGCCTTTTCATTGACCGAATGCTTTGCCTATAGTTTCTATGTGAGAGTAGATTGAGATGTTCTTAATTGTCTCACAGGTATAAATCAAGATTATATACAAATAATTATTAAATCAATACACATTTTGTGCCAATTCATCTTTGAAGTGCTATATGAATTGCTAACGTGACTATTTGTACATATTATACTCACGGATCTATCAATGAAATAGAAACTTTACTTCTATTCTTCTAAAGCGTTATAGTTTTTAACAATATCAAATTCAAATAAATAAAGTTCGTGAAATAAACTTTTTAGGCATTCCTTCAATACCTAATCTAGAACTCCTAAGCAGTATATACTCACTACCTCGCATTCTAAATTTGTGACCAGCTTGAGAAACTTAGATATTTTACACACAACACAGCAGTTTATTTGTGATCACCATACAAAGTTGTCGGTAATATATGTCAGTAACTATCATCTGCCAGAGTTTCGGAATTCCATTTTGACTAGATCTCATATTTTTAGTCTTGTGCTCAGACCGTGTTAGTAGATAAAAATTAATTTGTTGAGACCTTGATAATTATCATGACGCATGTCTGGAGACGATGGGTGACATGATTTTAAATTTTTTGAAATTGTACAGACATATTCATTCATTATCTTCTCTTAGTCAAATTTTTTTTTAAATCTTATGCTTTCTTACTCGACGAAATAATATTTTCTTCACGAGTCCTAATGTTTATGTCAGCTTTCTTCCACTATCACTTATGATGTTACCACTCCTATTCCTTTGGCATTTCGCAATACTTAACTTGATGCACGTATATTTCAGGCTCTACATTATACATGACTGATTGAATGACTGATACTGGATTTTGTATTTTTATAAAAATCCATTTTACATTTGATCAATATTTGATCTTGTGTCGAAATGTTAAGATTATTAATAATATGAACTTAATTCGTCAAACATAATTAATCTGTTTTCTCGTATTGTGGTGTGCGTTACTTATATCTACACAAGTAGTATATAACGGTAGTCAGGCATAGAATGTGTTTCAGTAAAACGTCGATGAGGAACAAACAGGAACGCAACGCAATCAGTATGAAAACGCATGAACAATGAAATCTGAGACAATGGATTGATGTTTGCAATAGGAACAGTCAATTTTGATATGATGTATTGATATTTTGCACATTAACGATTTAATACATGGTTTTCAGATTTTATTGAGATGCATTCGATTGTCCTCACCAGTATTCTGTTGCTACAATATCACCTGTGATATGACGAAACTTTCAATCGTATACTTATCAAGGAAATCGTAGACTAATTCATTTATAAAA